ATGGGATTTTCCCATGTATTTTACCAGGAAACATACATAGGGCAGCCTAGAAAAGTCAGTGCCCTCCTAACCATACCCAAGCACTCCGAGTTTGTTGGCGATGTCCATTTTGCTCTAGGAGTTCACGGTGACGTAACCCTAACCCTAAGTGGAATTTTCCTCCAATGGGATTTTCCCATGTATTTTACCAGGAAACATAGAAAGGGCAGCCTAGAAAAGTCAGTGCCCTCCTAACCATACCCAAGCACTCCGAGTTTGTTGGCGATGTCCATTTTGCTCTAAGAGTTTCGGTGACGTAACCCTAACCCTAAGTGGAATTTTCCTCCAATGGGATTTTCCCATGTATTTTACCAGGAAACATACATAGGGCAACCTAGAAAAGTCAGTGCCCTCCTAACCATACCCAAGCACTCCAAGTTTCTTGTCGATGTTCATTTTGCTCTAGGAGTTCACAGTGACGTAACCCTAACCGTAAGTGGAATTTTCCTACAATGGGATTTTCCCATGTATTTTACGAGGAAACATAGAAAGGGCAGCCTAGAAAAGTCAGTGCCCTCCTAACCATACCCAAGCACTCCGAGTTTGTTGTCGATGTCCATTTTGCTTCTGGAGTTCACGGTGACGTAACCCTAACCCTAAGTGGAATTTTCCTACAATGGGATTTTCCCATGTATTTTACCAGGAAACATAGAAAGGGCAGCCTAGAAAAGTCAGTGCCCTCCTAACCATACCCAAGCACTCCTAGTTTGTTGTCGATGTCCATTTTGCTCTAGGAGTTCATGGTGACGTAACCCTAACCCTAAGTGGAATTTTCCTCCAATGGGATTTTCCCATGTATTTTACCAGGAAACATAGAAAGGGCAGCCTAGAAAAGTCAGTGCCCTCCTAACCATACCCAAGCACTCCGAGTTTGTTGGCATGTCCATTTTGCTCTAGGAGTTCTTGGTGACGTAACCCTAACCCTAAGTGGAATTTTCCTCCAATGGGATTTTCCCATGTATTTTACAAGGAAACATACATAGGGCACCTAGAAAAGTCAGTGCCCTCCTAACCATACCCAAGCACTCGAGTTTGTTGTCGATGTCCATTTTGCTCTAAGGAGTTCACGGTGACGTAACCCTAACCCTAAGTGGAATTTTCCTACAATGGGATTTTCCCATGTATTTTACCAGGAAACATAGAAAGGGCAGCCTAGAAAAGTCAGTGCCCTCCTAACCATACCCAAGCACTCCGAGTTTGTTGGCAATGTCCATTTTGCTCTAAGAGTTCTCGGTGACGTAACCCTAACCCTAAGTGGAATTTTCCTACAATGGGATTTTCCCATGTATTTTACCAGGAAACATAGATAAGGGCAGCCTAGAAAAGTCAGTGCCCTCCTAACCATACCCAAGCACTCCAAGTTTCTTGGCGATGTCATTTTGCTCTAGGAGTTCACAGTGACGTAACCCTAACCCTAAGTGGAATTTTTCTCCAATGGGATTTTCCCATGTATTTTACCAGGAAACATAGAAAGGGCAGCCTAGAAAAGTCAGTGCCCTCCTAACCATACCCAAGCACTCCTAGTTTGTTGGCGATGTCCATTTTGCTCTAGGAGTTCACGGTGACGTAACCCTAACCCTAAGTGGAATTTTCCTACAATGGGATTTTCCCATGTATTTTACCAGGAAACATAGAAAGGGCAGCCTAGAAAAGTCAGTGCCCTCCTAACCATACCCAAGCACTCCTAGTTTGTTGGCGATGTCCATTTTGCTCTAAGAGTTCACGGTGACGTAACCCTAACCCTAAGTGGAATTTTTCTCCAATGGGATTTTCCCATGTATTTTACCAGGAAACATAGATAGGGCAGCCTAGAAAAGTCAGTGCCCTCCTAACCATACCCAAGCACTCCTAGTTGTTGGCGATGTCCATTTTGCTCTAGGAGTTCACGGTGACGTAACCCTAACCCTAAGTGGAATTTTCCTACAATGGGATTTTCCCATGTATTTTACCAGGAAACATAGAAAGGGCAGCCTAGAAAAGTCAGTGCCCTCCTAACCATACCCAAGCACTCCTAGTTTGTTTCCGATGTCCATTTTGCTCTAAGAGTTTACAGTGACGTAACCCTAACCCTAAGTGGAATTTTTCTCCAATGAGATTTTCCCATGTATTTTACCAGGAAACATAGAAAGGGCAGCCTAGAAAAGTCAGTGCCCTCCTAACCATACCCAAGCACTCCGGTTTGTTGGTGATGTCCATTTTGCTCTAAGAGTTCACTGGTGACGTAACCCTAACCCTAAGTGGAATTTTCCTACAATGGGATTTTCCCATGTATTTTACCAGGAAACATAGAAAGGGCAGCCTAGAAAAGTCAGTGCCCTACTAACCATACCCAAGCACTCCTAGTTTGTTTCCGATGTCCATTTTGCTCTAAGAGTTTACACGTAACCCTAACCCTAAGTGACGTAACCCTAACAGCCTAAGTCCCCTAGGAATTTTCCTCCAACGTAACCCTAACCCTAAGGGATTTTCTTACCATGTATTTTACCAGGAAACATAGAAAGGGCACCCTAGAAAAGTCAGTGCCCTCCTACCCATACCCAAGCACTCCTAGTTTGTTTCCGATGTCCATTTTGCTCTAAGAGTTTACAGTGACGTAACCCTAACCCTAAGTGGAATTTTTCTCCAAAGGGATTTTCCCATGTATTTTACCAGGAAACATAGAAAGGGCAGCCTAGAAAAATCAGTGCCCTCCTAACCATACCCAAGCACTCCGAGTTTGTTGGCAATGTCCATTTTGCTCTAAGAGTTCTTGGTGACGTAACCCTAACCCTAAGTGGAATTTCCCTACAATGGGATTTTCCCATGTATTTTACCAGGAAACGTAGAAAGGGCAGCCTAGAAAAGTCAGTGCCCTCCTACCCATACCCAAGCACTCCTAATTTGTTTCCGATGTCCATATTGCTCTAAGAGTTCACGGTGACGTAATCCTAACCCTAAGTGGAATTTTCCTACAATGGGATTTTCCCATGTATTTTACCAGGAAACATAGAAAGGGCAGCGTAGAAAAGTCAGTGCCCTTCTAACCATACCCAAGCACTCCAGGTTTGTTGGCGATGTCCATTTTGCTCTCAGAGTTCACGGTGACGTAACCCTAACCTTAAGTGGAATTTTCCTCCAGTGGGATTTTCCCATGTATTTTACCAGGAAACATACATAGGGAAGCCTAGAAAAGTCAGTGCCCTACTAACCATACCCAAGCACTCCGAGTACGTTGGCGATGTCCATTTTGCTCTAGGAATTCACGGTGACATAACCCTAACCCTAATTGTAATTTTCCTACAATGAGATTTTCCCATGTATTTTACCAGGAAACATAGATAGGGCAGCCTAGAAAAGTCAGTGCCCTCCTAACCATACCCAAGCACTACGAGTTTGTTGGCGATGTCCATCTTGCTCTAGTAGTTCATGGTGACGTAACCCTAACCCTAAGTGGATTTTCCTCCAATGAGATTTTCCCATGTATTTTACCAGGAAACATAGATAGGGCAGCCTAGAAAAGTCAGTGCCCTCCTAACCATACCCAAGCACTCCGGGTACGTTGGCGATGTCCATTTTGCTCTAGGAGTTCATGGTGACGTAACCCTAACCCTAAGTGGAATTTTTCTACAATGGGATTTTCCCATGTATTTTACCAGGAAACATAGAAAGGGCAGCCTAGAAAAGTCAGTGCCCTCCTAACCATACCCAAGCACTCCGAGTTTGTTGGCGATGTCCATTTTGCTCTAAGAGTTCACAGTGACGTAACCCTAACCCTAAGTGGGTTTTTTCTCCAATGGAATTTTCCCATGCATTTTACCAGGAAACATAGTTATTTCAGCCTAGAAAAGTCAGTGCCCTGCTAACCATACCCAAGCACTCCGAGTTTGTTGGCGATGTCCATTTTGCTCTAAGAGTTCACGGTGACGTAATCCTAACCCTAAGTGGAATTTTCCTACAATGGGATTTTCCCATGTATTTTACCAGGAAACATAGAAAGGGCAGCCTAGAAAAGTCAGTCCCCTTCTAACCATACCGAAGCACTCCGGGTACGTTGGCGATGTCCATTTTGCTCTAGGAGTTCATGGTGACGTAACCCTAACCCTAAGTGGAATTTTTCTACAATGGGATTTTCCCATGTATTTTACCAGGAAACATAGAAAGGGCAGCCTAGAAAAGTCAGTGCCCTCCTAACCATACCCAAGCACTCCGAGTTTGTTGGCGATGTCCATTTTGCTCTAAGAGCACAGACGTGTCTCCAATTTTTCCCATGCTCTAGGAGTTCAACCATACCCAAGGTGACGCTAAGAGTTCACCTAATCCCTAAGTGGAATTTTCCTACAATGGGATTTTCCCATGTATTTTACCAGGAAACATAGAAAGGGCAGCCTAGAAAAGTCAGTCCCCTTCTAACCATACCGAAGCACTCCGAGTTTGCTCGCGATGTCCATTTTGCTCTAAGAGTTCACGGTGACGTAACCCTAACCCTAAGTGGAATTTTCCTCCAATGGGATTTTCCCATGTATTTTACCAGGAAACATACATAGGGCACCCTAGAAAAGTCAGTGCCCTCCTAATGATACCCAAGAACTCCGAGTTTGTTGGCGATTTCCATTTTCCTCTAGGAGTTCATGGAGACGTAACCGTAACCCTAAATGGAATTTTCCTCCAATGGGATTTTCCCATGAATTTTATCGGGAAACATACATAGGGCAGCCTAGAAAAGTCAGTGCCCTCCTAACCATACCCAAGCACTCCGAGTTTGTTGGCGATGTCCATCCTGCACTAGGAGTTCACGTTGACGTAACCCTAATGTCCTCCATCTCTATTCTGATTCTAATTCCAATGTGTCTGCGCTGCATTTGAGCGCGGCAATGGAGTTTGGCCAACCCGGGTTGAGCGCGGAGGATGAAGAAATTAGGATAGGATCCAGGCTCAATTGGAAGGGCGGCGGTCCGAGGACTGGGCGGTCAGTGGCGAGAAGGACCCCCGCAGCCCTCTTCTCCCCGCGCAGCCGCTCACTTCGGCCGCGCCCCCTTCCCTCTCCAAAACGACGTCTCGGCACCAACTTTGGGGAAAAGTTTTTCGCCCGACTTTCCGTCGTTCCTCCTCGGCCCGTACCGTCCCGATGCTCTCCCAGTACGGGCACCGCGCTTTGGGCGCGCTGATGCTCTTGGGCACCGCCTCGGGCTTGGTGGCCGTGCTGGCCTCGATGCTGCTCTTCCAGATCCAAGGAGGCGCCGTCGGCAACCGCGACCTGACCCAGCGGCTCCGGGCGCTGCTGCGGCCCATCTCGGCCGGCCTGGCCTCGCTCGGCTTGGTGCTCAGCCTGAGCTGCCTGCTGCTGAGCCTCCTGCACGGCTACTGCGGCGCCGAGCGATGCGCGGCCTCCGGGGGCGGGCTGGGCAGCGAGAGGTGCGTATGTGGGGGAGTGAAGGGCCCCGAAGCGACACAAGGTCCCCTCGCCACGATCGGGGGTGGTGGAGGCTTTTCCTGAGGGTGGCATTTTCAGAACTGGGTTTGAAGGGGGGGGAGGCACTTAGTTGGCGCAGAGCATGTAACTTGGGTTAACTTCTGCTAAGCCACGATGTATTGACCTCTGCTTTGCTGAAGAAGCCCCCCTCAAGCTGGGCTACCATATCACATCAAGCGTTAAAGTATGATTTAACGGTCAGATCCATCCAGTCAACCCGACCCAAGTGCAGAAATTAAGGCTTTTCAAGATCCTAAAAAGAGTGTGGTTCAGCATCATACAGGTGGTCCTTGACTGACCACAACAGCCTCAAATTTCCATTGCTAAGCAAGAAAGACGATTGTTAAGTGAATTTTGTCCCAGTTTATGACCTTTCTTGACACAGTTGTTAAGGGACTCGCTGCAGTTATTAAGTTAGCAACATGGTGGTTAAGTGAACCTGGCTTCCCCACTGACTTTGCTTGTCAGTTCACAAAAGGTGATCGCACGACCCTGGGACACTACAGTTAATAATAATAATAATAATAATAATAATAATAATAATAATAATAATAATAATAATAATAATAATATAATAATAAAGTTGGAAGGGACCTTGGAGGTCATCTAGCACAACCCCCTGCTCAGGCAGGAAACCCTATACCATTTCAGACAAATGGCTATCCAGTCTCTTCTTAAAAACTTCCAGTTGCCAAGCATCTGAAGTTTGATCACATGACCACGGGGATGCTGCAACTATTGTGTGAAAAATGGTTGTTTAAGTCACTTTTTTCAGTGCTTTTGTCACTTTGAATGGTCACTAAGTGAACGGTTGTAAGTCGAGGACTACTTGTATCCTGCTTTTCAGTCATGCTGCTGGCTGGGGAATTCTGGGAATTAAAGTCCACATACCTTATGGTTGCTAAGCTTGAGAAACACTGCTCTAAAGTCAGAGGTAGCCTATCTTTGAATAGTGTACAATATTATGGAGGCGGATAGAAAGGGCAGCCCTGCTTCTGAGTCTCTTACAGGCTTCTGCTACCAGAATAAATAAGATATTCCAGGTTTCTATGTGGAGCAGAAGGTGAGATTAGGTAGCCCACAAAACCATTTTTATAAATCAGCTTAATGGTGTCCTTAATGCTTCTGGTAAGTGCTATTATTCACGATAGTAAGAAGAGAACCTCTGCATCCAGGCGTAGTATACCTTTAGATACTATATGCTGTCAGTCAAGAGATACTATCTTTGAATTCTACTTGATCAGATCTAACAAATGACTGGGAGTCAGCCAGAGTTGGTTATAAGATGGGTGGCTATATAAATGTTTTAAATAAATAAATACATAACAAAGAGAAAGAACACAAGGGTGAAGTCAAGATTTGGGGGCATCAATTTGTCCAACAATAGAGGATATATGTAGTTTATGATTGGCCTGTGAGTTGACTTGGTTATTTTCTTGCAGATGTTCCTTTACCTGCCTAGATAGTACTTCTCAATCTTAGCGGCTTTAAAATATGCGGACTCCAATTCCCAGAATTCTGCAGTGAACAAGCTGGTTGGGGAATTCTGGGACTTGAAATCCACGCATCTTAAAATGGCTGAAGTTGAGAAACACCACTATAGGGCAGAGGTCTCCAACCTTTTGGGTACCAGGGACTGCTTATGTGGAAAGAGGTTTTTCCGTGGACCAGAGGGGGCATGGTTTTGTGTGCTGCCTGCATCCCACGGATGGAGCTTTGCTTGTTTGTGCGGCCCGGTTGTGGGCATGCCATGGCCCGGTACCGGTCTCTGGACCGGGGGTTGGAGACCCCTGCGATAGGGAATCAATCCAAAGGTAACCAAATTAAGCAGATATTTGTTGCCTTTTGAGCTTGACATAATTTTAAGTCTTTCTTTTGGCTTTGATTTTGATTGAGCTAAGCCACACGATGGTTGGGTTCACATCATACATTGAACCAGGGTTAAAAAAAACAGAGCAGATGTATTCACATTAAATCCTGTATCTAAATAAAGAAACCTGAGTAGGGCTTATTATAATAGTCTGATTCACAAAACATGTTGAACTACAGTCCATGTTTGGCTTGTCCAACATGTGCAAATCCATGCAGGCTCTAGAATGCTTGTAGCTAATATTTACATATTTCCAAGGTTGACAAAAATTCATTAAAACTGCAACAGAATCATAGGGGGATAATTTTTGTATAAGTCTCCCATTCTAGAGCTTTGCTCCAGGATCACATCAGCCTTGAGGATTGCTCACATTATTGTGCAAAGTGCAATACACACCAACCACCTGCGTGTGCCAGCCTTTATAAAGTGAAATTCTATTTTAATGAGCAAGTTTGGAATCCAGCCTACTGGCACTCACTCTATTCATTATGCTTTCATCTCAGCTCCTCCAGTTTTCCTGAGTTGCTGTGGTGATTCTGAACACTTCAAATGTTCTTTCTGGATTCCACCTGATATCTCCCTTCCCTTCCATTTTCTTCTCTCTCTGACCCATAATCTACATTAAATTCCTTTCCTTCTCCCTCCTTCTCGTTTTCACTTTCCTTTCCCTCTTTCCTTCCCCTTCTCTTTCTGTTTCCTTTCCCTCTCCTTCCTTCCCATTTTTCCTCATTTCCTTTCCCTCTTCCCTTTCCCCCTTTCTTTCTCTTCTCTTCCCTTTCTCCCTTTCCTTTCCTTGTCCTTCCTTCCCATTTTCCTTTTCTTCCCTCCCCTTCTATCCCTGCCAAGGAGAGCAGTGGGGTGGAATTCCTTCTGCAGTTGACAAAGCAAGACTCAATACTTGAAGACACCAAAAGACAGGCTGTGATTCCATTCCTCCCTTCCCTCCGTCCCCCCCCCCTAAGGCTCCCTGTGAAGATGAAGTTTCAACCCTGGTAACCAGCTGCTCCTTCCCCCGCCCCCCCCCCCAAAGCTTCACATTCTTACTCCCCAGTCAACTGCTTGAATTCCTGCCTGTTAAAGAGAACTGCAATAACTCCCAACAGCTCTGACCCAAGTAAGAATTTAAAAGAGCTCTTTTATTAAAATAAATGGGTCAGATATTAATCAAAAGCCATCACTCTTTGGGCTTGAGCTGACCCCCCCCTTCCCAAAACAGAGGGGCTATTTCACCCATGGATACAATGGATGGCTGGGTTCCTCAGCTCTTTGGCAACTTCAGCACAAAGTTGCTTTTTTGCACTGTTCACAATTTGCCCAGGACAATCAAATCTACAGTATAAGGAGTCCTTGACTTATGACAATTGGGACCGGGACTTCTGTTGCTAAGAGTAGTGGCTGTTGAGTTGAGTTGCAATCCAATTCAACAACTTTTTTTGCTATGGTCATTAACCAAATCATGTTTGTTAAGTGAATTACACGGTTGTTAAGCAAATCTGGCTTTCTCCTTTGACTCTGCTTGTCAGAAGCCGTCTAGGAAGGTCATAAAGGGCGACCACATAACCCTGGGATGCTGCAACCGTCGTAAATATAACCAGTGGCCAAGTGCTGAAATTTTGATCCCGTGACCATGGGTTTCCTGCGAAGGTTGTTAAATGTGAAAAATGGTTGTGAAGTCACTTTTTTTACTGCTGTTGTTAACTTTGAACGGTCCCTAATGAAAGTAGGTATGTTGAGGACTCTCTGTATTTTAGGACAATATGTAAGTAATTATAATAATAACAACAAGAAGAAGAAGAAGAAGAAGAAGAAGAAGTTGGAAGGGACCTTGGAGGTCATTAAATCCAACCCCCTGCTCAGGCAGGTAACCCTATACCATTTCAGACAAATGGCTGTCCAGTCTCTTCTTAAAAACTTCCAGTGTTGGAGCATTCACCCCTTCTGGAGGCAGGTTGTTCCACTGGTTAATTGTTCTCACTGTCAGGAAGTTTCTCCTTAGTTCTAGTTGCTTCTCTCCTTGATTAGTTTCCATCTGTTGCTTCTTGTTCTGCCTTCAGGTGCTTTGGAAAATAGCTTGAATTCCTCTTCTTTGGGGCAGCCCCTGAGATATTGGAAGACTGCTATTATGTACTCCCTCGTCCTTCTCTTCATTAAACTAGAGCAGGGGTAGGCAACCTCGGCTCTTTTATGACTCGTGGACTTCAACTCCCAGAATCCCTGAGCCAGCACAACTGGCTCAGGAATTCTGGGAGTTGAAGTCCACGAGTCATAAAAGAGCCGAGGTTGCCTACCCCTGAACTAGAGCCACTAGACATACCCAATTCCAGCAACCGTTCCTTATATTCATCAACATTATAATAGGTTTGCATGTGAGTTGTTTGGAGCAGGGATCTATCTACTTGGCAGACAAAAATAATAAAAATATATTGTTCTTATGTCACAGAGGTGACTGGTTCCTGCTGGAGAGCCGAAAAGTGAGACATGTAGCTGTGGGTGTGTTTTGCTGCGCTGTTTTAGCCTACCTAGCAGGTGAGTAGTTTCTCCCTTCCCTTTCTGGTTTCCCTTGCTTGTCCTTTCCTAGAAGAAATGTTCAAAAACTGGTCTGAAAATTATGTTTGGTGTAAGGAAATAAAATTTCCCATCCACATAACTTCTGGAGTATTGAGAACCATGCTTTAAAAACAAGTTAGGCACAAAGGAAAGGCATGGAGAGAAGTTACAAAGGCATCCAATTCTATTTTATTTTGTATTTATCTATGGTCTATGTCAGTGATGGCGAACCTTTTAGAGACCAAGTGCCCAAACTGCAATCCAAAACCCACTTATGTATCGTCGGGTGCCAGGTGGGCATGGCCCATTGGGTGGGTGTGGCCCATTGGGTGGACCTGGCCCATTGGGTGGGCGTGGCTGCAGTGGTAACGGCAGACTGGGTGGGACTAAAAAGTTCAATCAATCAGTTCCAACTTTGCGAGATCTTTTTTTCTCCCACAAGAAGTTGAAATTGATTGATGGATTGAACCTTTTTTTTTTTTTTTTTTGCACACGGCAGCCTAAAGCAAAAAGGTTTTATAAAACCCAGCTGAAGGTCTAGGACTGGGGCGATGGAGCGTGTGCCCAAAGAGAGGACTCTGCGTGCCACCTGTGCCATAGGTTCGCCACCATGGGTCTATGTTTTCATTCAAATTGTATTTTTTAGAGCTTATTTTATTATAAACTGCACAGAGACGTCTGGCTATTGGGTGGTTTAATTTAAAATATATAAATTGCAAGGAAGCATACAGGCAGTCCTTGACGTACGACCACAGTTCAGTCCAAAAGTGATGTTGCTAAGTGAAACCTTTGTTAAATGAGTTTTGCCCCATTTTATGAACTTTCTTGCCACAGCTGTTAAGTGAATTGCTATAGTTGTTAAGTTAGTAACATGGTTGTTAAGTGAATTAAGTGTCTTCCCCATTTGTCAGGTCACAAAAGCTGATCCTAGGACACTGCAGCCATCATAAATATGAACCAGTTGCCAAGTGTCCGAATTCTGATCATGTGACCACGAGGAAGCTGCAGTGGTCGTGAGAAAAATGGTCATAAGTCACTTTTTTCAATGCTGTTGTAACTTGAACGGCACTTAATGAACCGTTATAAGTTGAGGACTACCTGTGTAGGCCAAGCCTTCTTCAGTATGCTAATTGCTGGGAGAATTGTGAGTCAGTGTGTTGAGGGAATCCAATTCTTAGCATTTTGAACACATGGGTTACAAACTTGGTTGATCGTTCTGGGACAGGAGTAGGCAACCTTGTCTCTTTTATGACTCGTGGACTTCAACTCCCAGAATTCTTGAGCCAGCATGGCTCAGCTTGGAAACCTCTCCATTTCCCCTCAGCATGGCTGGCTCAGGAATTCTGGGAGTTGAAGTCCACGAGTCATAAAAGAGCCAAGGTTGCCTACCCCTGTTCTGGGAGAACCCAATTCTTTTGTAGGCTGCTTTAAGCTTTGGTCCTTGTTAAAAATTTCATTTCCCCTCTCTTCTGCTCTCCAGCCCTCTCGATCTACGTGATGATGGCATTTGAGAGAGAAACGGGAATTACCTGTGTTTGTATCTTCTCCTCTGGGATCATCGTCTTGATCATTACGGTGATCCACGTGCTCGTCCGGGCTTCCAAAGCCACGCAACATAGCCCAGGAGAATTGTCACACAATCTTTACGAGAACGGCTCAGCCCAGAGCGGCGAAACACCAGCCGTTCATCCTAGTGATGCTCCAAAGGTGGCTTCTTCACGGTCACATCTGGAAATCCACCCAGAGGTTTCGTACCTGTCCTACGTGGAGCAGAAGTCCCACCAGACCATCCCAGCGAGCAGCACCAATGTCACCTCCGTGGACAGTGTTGTACCAACCCTGGAGAAAGAGGGCTGTAGCATCCCCAGAATGCACCAGACACTTTCGGCAGAGTCCGGCCTTCTGCTGAGCCACGGGGTGAGGCAGGAAATGAGGAAAGTCCTATCTCGCAAACCGAAGGGATCAGGCAAAGGTTCAACCTTGGTGTAAGGACCCACCCCACTTTGCATCTTTAAGAAGACAGAACTCTTGGAATAGTTCTTCCAACAGGCATCCTTTATTAAGAGAAAATGGTTGCAGGCGTTCTAGACAGGACTTGGGGTCCAAGCTCTCCCATTCAAGGTTTTAAGGGGTTCCCCAGTAGCCCACCTAATCACCCCCTTTTTCCAGCGACAGTCTTAGGCATTACACTCACACCCCCTTTTCCTTACTACCGGCTGGATGGAGACTTCAGAGGGGAGTACATGAAAGGTAATAGCCCCATTGTTATGGTTAGTCCTTTTGGTGATATCCACATTCAGTCCCTTTGAAGTGTACCAAAGGAAGTGAGGGCCATAAAGCCCCTTTGTTCACCCCCTTCCCTTCATCGTATGACAGAATCCAGAGAAGGCAGAAATGGGGTTTTCTATAGTTGATAACTAGAGATGAAATATAATTGGATTCTGACACTTGGTGTGAAATCTCAGAAAGCGTGGCGATCCCGATCCCCACAGAAATCTTCAATCTCCAGACGACCTTTGTTGGAAGGAACACTTAACCATATTGCTTGATTGCTTCACACGCTCTCTCGTTCACTCATAAGACAGTGGGGAACAACCTTATTTAGATTCCTTTAAAAGGAAATTAGGATCAGCCCCATGGTTTTATGACAATTCGCCATGGCCAACTTGCCACAGCCAACTCACACCGCGGGACAACTCACCATCGCCAACTTGCTGCAGGACAAGAGTTTTACACTAATATCAAAGGAATAGCGGAACAGAATAATTAAAGAACGGATGCAAAAAGGAGGTACCCAACAAAATACGAATGGCAGAAATGAAAATATTTTTGTATTTATTTTAAATAATTAAATTGAATTGTTCAGTTGTCTTGCGGCGAGTTGTCCTGCAGCAAGCTGGCTATGGCGAATTGTCCCAGTCCACAGCCCCACTAGATGGAACTTCACAGGAGGACCAGAACTCCACTTTATTGAGACAGGCTATAACAGGGGTAGGCAACCTTGGCCCTTTTATGACTCGTGGACTTCAACTCCCAGAATTCCTGAGCCAGCCATGCTGAGGGGAAAGGGAGAGGTTTCCATGCTGAGCTATGCTGGCTCAGGAAATTCTGGGAGTTGAAGTCCACGAGTCATAAAAGAGCCAAGGTTGCCTATCCCTGGGCTATAACAACAAAATGTTGCAAGCCTGATTTTGCTGTGCAAATAGTCCTCGACTTACAACAGTTCATTTAGTGACCAAAGTTACAACTGCACTGGAAAAAGTGAGTCAGGACCATTTTTCATACTTACGACCGTTGCAGCATCCCCATGATCACTTGATCAAAATTCAGATGCTCGGCAATTGACTCTCAGTTATGACGGTTGCAGTGTCCCGGGGTCATGCGATGACTTTGGTGACCTTCTGACGAGCAAGGTCAATGGGGAAGCCCGATTCACTTAACAACCCTATGACTCACTGAAGAACTGCAGTGCTTCACTTAATAACCGTGGCAAGAAAGATCATAAAATGGGTCAAAGCTCACTTTACAAATGTCTCACTTAGCAACAGATATTTTGAGCTCCATTATGGTTGTAAGTTGAGGACTACCTGTATTTCCCCTCCTTGGATCAGGGAGGTGATTGTCTGAGCCATTTCCAAATATTATCTTGATACCCAGGGCTTAAAGAAACATTTTTGACGTCACCTCCCTTACTCTCAGCAATTAGAAAAATCCACATATTACAGATTGTGTGAGGATGTCTACATAGACAAGGGGTAGGCAACCTTGGTTCTTTTATGACTTGTGGACTTCAACTCCCAGAATTCCTCAGCCAGCATGGCTCAGCTTGGAAACCTCTCCCTTTCCCCTCAGCATGGCTGGCTCAGGAATTCTGGGAGTTGAAGTCCACGAGTCATAAAAGAGCCAAGGTTGCCTACCCCTGCCCTAATGCATGCTGGCTGAGGAATTCTGGGAGTTGGTCCACAAGTCATAAAAGGGCCAAGTTTGAAGACCCCTGCCCTAATGCATGCTGCAAACCAGCATCAAGAAAGACTGCTACTGAACATGGAGGCTTCCTTTAATGATCCTATTACCTCCAATTTTGTTCTACTAATATTAGATGCCATCCATTATTAGATACGGTACTACATTTAAATTGTTCTTAGGTGCTACCATAAAGAGGCAATTTGTCTGGACTCACACTAGTAAAGGAAGATTGGTTGTATAGGTCAGGGTTCCCCAACCCCTGTCCGTGACTTGGAACTGGGCTACAGCCTGTTCGGAACCGGGCCACGGAAGTGATAGGTGAATGTGTATGCATGAGGCTGCATTTTTGAAAGTGGCACACATGAAACCATATTCTCTCCCCCCCCCCCGCTGCTTCCACCAGTCCATCGAACTGTAAAGGTTGGAGACCACTGTTATATAGGTCATCCTTGACTTATGACCGTAACTGAGCCCAGAATTATAGTTATACATTGAGGCATCACATGGCCAGACCCGATTTTTCAACCTTTTTGTAGTGGTGGTGTTAAGTGAATCCATTTTACCCAACGGTCTTTTTTTGGGGGCCAGAAACTGGAAGTACTGGAAATCAGCAAAATTTGAAAAAATAAAAAACCATGGTCACATGACCATGGGACACTGCAAAGAGCTGTAAAAGTGAGCGGGTTGCCAAGTGTACAGAATACGATCACATCACCGCAGGGGTGTACGGGTGTGAGGCGGCCATAATTTCAAAACTGAGTTACAAATAGTTTTGGGGAGCCCATTGTAGCTTTGAACTTGAGGACTATCTATACTGAATTGAAGGGTAGGTAGACTTTCTGATTACAGTGAAGACCGGAACAGCAACATCAGATCAAGTTTGTGAATCCAACATCCACAGTTTGTATGCCATCCAGAAAGCGATAGTGATTAGGGTTCGCAAGAGCCAAAATCCGTAACAAGACCTCACTTCAAGTCATGAATGACACGCTTTTTAGTGATTTAGTTAGAACCATTACCATACGTTCATATAAGCCAGAAATGAAATGTAGGCATGTACAAGGAGAAACATGGGCTGGCATACGCAAATGACACTCGGAATTTCAACAGAATTTTCCATTTCAGTACAAGAGAGAAAATTCATATCTCTCCATCCTCATAATAATGGCTGAAGAGCATCATCTGGATTTACCCTGCAAAGCTATTGCAAAGATTCCTAAAAGTAAAATGTCAGTGAATATTTTGAAAACCTTTCCCTCCTAACCCTAAAACTAAAAAAAAAATCCAGTATAAATAACAAAGACCATATATCAAGCTTAGCTCAAATTCCTTGTGCGGTTGCTGAAAAAAGGAATATTATCCCATAATTCCAAATTCTGAGTGATCACCTGATTTAAATGGAAGTTTGTTCCTTGGCTAGAGTTGGCATTCGTTATTTGGGGAGGGGGGGAAGGAAGGATAAGAACTAGGGTGGGCAGGGAGCTGTCATGAGTATTAAAGGTATTTCCCCCCCTAGATTTGGGATGGATTTTCCCTTTTAATTATATTCATCCAAGTTCGGGGATTCCTACACTTTTTGTGTGTTGTGTTTCCCACTTCGAAAGAGTAAGAAAGGAATCTCTGATTTTCACCCCTTGGGATTGGAGGGTGCTCTGGAGACCATGAAAAGCTGATGGAGGACGGGATGGGGGCATTGATGCAGGCCTTGGATAGCTGACCAGAGACATAAATAAGGTCTGGCAAACTCTCCCTTTATACAGAACCAGAAGCCCACTGGATTCACATCAGCGAAGCAGAGTTGTGTGTAAAACAGAATGTCTTTGAGCGTGCTCAGGATCAAAGTAGGATAATATTGCTCTCTGCAACCCAGGAGATTGGCTGCATTAACCAATTAACCCCTTTACCGTTCCGAAATCCTTTATATGTATTTATCTGATAGGAAAACTAGGTTTTCTGAATAATTCTGCCTGAACTGAGACTGTTAAGACAGCTAAGGATAAAACAGTGGAAGCATTCAAGGCTTTCCTTTCTCTTGCCTTCCTTGTGTATGGTGGGGTAGGGGATCGTCTTAAATCTAAGATTGCTTTCCTTTTTTTGGACAAATGCAGGAGATGACAAAATCTAGCTTAACCGTGAGAACAGAAGGACAGTCACTTGGAATTTCTTGAAAAGGGAAGGAGAGGATAAGATGAAGCAGGTAGAACTGGGAGAAGAATGGGCAGCCAATAAGAAGGCACAACACCCGTTTTACAAGTAGAAGAGGTCCTGGGTTGAAAATCTGGAATTTTCAAATACAGCTGGCACCTCTGAGGCTCAGGAGAGGTGTGATTAGCTTGCCATCAATCATGAGCTACATGGACCAACAGTTTGGCTCGATATAATGGGATTCTTAAATGTATTCTCTCCCCTCTCCTCTTCCTCTGGGAAGCCAATCCTGTCTCACCCCAGCACTTGTACAAGCACATGACACAGCAAGAAAAATCTTGCCTGCAGTGTTTCTTCCTTGGAAACTAAGTATTGCTAACATATGTTCTTTGCTTAGAGTAATTTTTTAAATTAACTAATTATTGATGTTAAAAAAATGATTAAACCTGGAGACTGGTTAATATAAATGTGTCTTGGTCACATCGACGTGAAGAATGGCTTCCCCTTGGCGTCTGAAGCTTCTTTCCATAAATAGAGAGGATGACCATGAAGTTTTCCCAGACCTGGATCTCCAGAGCTACCTCCGTGCAGAATTCAACCGATCTTTTACGGCAATGGCGTGTCTAAGGAGTCCTTCAATGTTCTTGAAATACATGCTACTGTCCTTCATATTCTTGATGGCACTGGACAGGAAGGAAAGCACCTGGTTAGAATTACAAGAGTTGGGGAAAGGGGATCCAGAGTGTCCCAGCCTCAGAAATCCAGGAACAGGGATAGAGAGAAGAGTATATCGCAGGGGTTAGAATGGTAAAAAACAAGTTTTTAAGGGCAGTCACCTGCAGGCATATTCTACGGTGTAAATGGCTCCTTGACTCTGTTCTTCCCAGCTCTGCATGTCAGCCTGCAAAGAGAAAGGACAGCTGATCTTTTGCTAGGTAGAAGCACAAGAGACCTGGTGGTCAGAATGCAGTACTGCAGGTAATTCTGCCCACTGCCAGCAGTTCGATCCTGACCAGCTCAAGGTTGACTCGGCCTTCCATCCTTCCGAGGTTGGTAAAATGAGGTCCCAGATTGTTGGGGGAAATAGGCTGACTCGTTAAACTTCTGTAAAGCACTATGGAGCAGTGTATAAGTCTAAGTCAGGGGTAGGTAACCTCGACTCTTTTATGACTCATGGACTTCAACTCCCAGAATTCCTGAGTCAGCATAACTGGCTCAGGAATTCTGGGAGTTGAAGTCCATGAGTCATAAAAGAGCCGAGGTTGCCTACCCCTGGTCTAAGTACTATTGTTATTGCTATAAAACGTTCCAGCACTTTCTGTCACCCTTCTTGCAAAGTGAAAAAAAAGGGGCTTTACCTTTGTTCACTTTTCCTTTAAGCTTTTGACTCTGGTTTTTACAGAATGCGTATATATTTTTCACACTACAAGTAATCCTCGACTTACAATTATTTGTTTAGAGACCACTCAAAGTTTCCACAGCACCTAAAAGAGTGATTTATGACCAGTTGTTGCACTTACAACCTTCACAACATTCCCAAGATCATGTGATCAGAATTCAGACACTTGGCAACCAGCATATTACAACGGTTGCAACACCTCGGAATCATGTGGTCACCATTTGCGACTTTTCCAGGTCGGCTTCCAACAAGCAAAGTCAATGGGGGAAGCTGGACTGATTTGTTTAACAACTGTGGGGGAAAAAGGTGATTAAAATCAGGTGCGACTCATTTAAAAACCACCTTGATTAGCAACCGAAATTCTGGTCCCAATTATGGTTGAAAACTACCTGTATATCTTTTAAAGTGAACCACATTATGGAAAGCATGGACGAAGAGCAGATATGATGGCTTTGGTCAAGCAAAGGATTCACTTTTTTTTTTTAAGAGTCACTTTTTCTCATATCCTATCTAGGTACTATCCATTTTCCACATTAGTTCACACAACTCCTTTCCCATTGCTTTGAAGGATGTGAGAATGATTTCTCCCATCACTGTTTAGTTAATGCTGAATGAGAGAATTAACAATGCAGTTAAGTAACAAGGACAGATTCAAAAGAGAGCAAAGGGAAACCAAGAGGTCAAGGAGAAGACGTGAAGACAGAGCTTTCTCTAATATAATTATCCAGAAGGGAATTATTTATTTATTTATTTATGAGACTTATATACCGCTTTAAGTGCAAGCACTCTCTAAGCGGTGTACACCAGTAAGCAATGTATATTTACATTGCCCCCAACAATCTGGGTCCTCATTTTACCTACCCCGGAAGGATGGAAGGCTGAGTCAACCTTGAGCCGGTGAGATTTGAACCGCTGACCTGCTGAATACAGTCAGCTAAAGTGGCCTGCAGTACTGTACTCTAACTGCTGCGCCACCTTCCAGTGGTGGGATTCAGCTGGTTCGCACACTTTGGCAGAACCGGTAGTTAATTTTTTGTTGCCCAGGCCCAGAATGGACTTCTGGAAGTGGCATCCACACAGAGAACCAGTTATTCACATATTTGAATCCCACCACTCTCTCCTTCCCAATATGCAGCTTAAGGTAAGATATTTTTGAGTTTCTCCCAAACATGGCCTTGAAACTGGACAGAGTCGATATAGAAAACCAGTTGTACCCCAAACAATTCTGAAGTGATCCACAACTACTTAACCAATAGATTGTGAAAGGATGATTTGTTACTTCTCAATCTGGCTTAATTTATTTTTCAGGAGTAGCCTAATTACTGACTCCCACATTCTTCTTAACAATGTAACAAACACAAACTGATAAAAGGAGATATATATATATCCTCAGGCTTTAAAGACCAGTACTTCTTCATTACAGAAAATGCTCTGGAAACTTCAATTAGCAGATGTGCATTAATATACCCACCTCTCATAGCTGCCTCTACATTAGCCTGATCTTTGCACACTGAAAATTAACATATCGTGAAAAAATGTCCATTTTCCCTTCCCCTTCCCCTAATATATTACATTTCTGCCTATGAGGAATTAAAAAATATGGAGGAATAGCTAAAAATCTGAGCCTTTAAGTCTGGTCTGTAACAGAATAGGTTTATTACATTATAGACTTTCTAAGAATAACACTATATCCATTCTCATTTACAGTTCAGATCACAGCTTACTTTATGTTCAGCCAGTTCTGGGAGAGAGCGCCTGACATGCTCTTGAAGCCGATACAACGCAACAGAAGGTTCATTGGCCAGGACATACATGCTTTCTGTAAATTTGTCTGTCACTATAAGAAAAGAAAGCATATTTTTTTCTCACAGCTTTGCTTCCACAGCAGGAGGGAAAAAAGGGTTCATTCAGATAATACATGTCATGATTTCAGGCCACCAGTGCAAGAAAGGGATGTCTAGGCTTGGATAAAATTTGTAAGTATAAAAACTAACCAGAAGCAAGAAAAAAAAGTCAGGGTAGGATGGCAGTCTAAAATCTGCAACTGCTTCAGAATGATAGATGAACATTGAGGCAGAAGGAGAGAAATGAAATTGGAAAACTGAATAAGAATCCAAGAGGGTAATGGTGGATGTGAATCTTTCATACTTCAAGTTGTTATGGTTCATCGCACAGTCAACCAGATGTGTAGACTAGATTTAGTATTTTTATTCATCTATTTAAGTCCTTCCCAAGGACCTGGGATAGGCAGATGTTGATTTTGATGGTGTTAGAGGTATCATTGCATCATGTAAGCTGTATTATTACATTTTTAATAAAGGAGAATATTTGTAGCTCAGGTTTGACATAAGGGTGCTCTCTGAGCTTGCTTGTTTTCTTGCAGACTTTTCCTTACCCAAACTAGGTAATATCAAAAGTGCTAGACTGATGATGTTACCTAGTTTGGGATAATGAAATGTCTGCAAGAAAACAAGTAAGCTCAGAGAGCACCAAGGGCCCCTTATTACATTTTTATTCTGACAAGAACTTCTTGGCAACAACACAACAGTTAGCTTGCCATTGCCATTCTGTACTCTCAAGTCAGCCTACTTTTCTGGAATTCCTTTGTGGTCTCCCATCCATCCATTAACCAGCTGCAACTGCAGTTAGCTTGTTTGAAACCAGCCCAGTTTGGGTGAGAACGCCTGCACAGTGTCAGACCAGAACAATAAAAATGAAATCTCTCATTCAATGCAACAGAACCGCCTTGTCCCTATTTCTAGCTTGGGAGAAGATGCCTGCTCTATACTGAAACAGAGCTATTTTCTTCAATATTAAAATAAAAATGGTTGGAATTCCACCCGAAAGGTGGAAATTGTCCACGCATGGATCCCAGAGACCAACTCCAGATCTGTGACCAGTTTTACTTTTGCTACAATAACACCCAAATCTCAACCCAGAGGCGCGGGGAGAGAATAAGCGCCCCTTTCTCTATTCTTCCCCGGACTTATTTTAGTGTAACATAACCCGGAAGTAGCCGTCATTGTTACCCTTTTTCACTTTCAGCTGCATTTCAGCCTCCTCCATGATACCGAACCGAGCCCGACCCCGCGTGAGAAAAAGCGGATTGCAGAACCGGGGCGGAACTCCAGCCGAACGTCAACTTCCGGAAAGCTGGGTGTATCGTCAGAAACGTACCTGTGTGGAAACACCGCCTGAGGAGAAAGGTTCTTGCTGTTTTTTTTTTAAAAAAATCAAAACGGTGCGGAATGTATAGCGTTTCTTTCATCCGTCAGGATTTGTTCATTTATTGATGCCCGGATTTCCCGTGCCGACGTTCAGGCCTAAAAAGATGACAAGGCTTATGAGGGAGCGTTTCCCTTTCAAAATGAATGGATGTCACCAATCCCTAAGTACTTAATGAAAATACTCTTTTTTTCTGTTGTGTTCCATGAGGCTTTCTCACTAACATGGTCAGTGGATCCTGGAAATAAATCCCGCTGCGATCAGTGGCATTATGTGTTTTGATTGTGTGATTTATAAAACCAAGCACAAGAGTCCAGTGCAATTTTTTTTGTCTTAATTAGGAAAATAGAAAAATATACAATCCCCTGAATGCAGAGCGATCTTCTTCCAGGAATCATGGAATAGTCTTCTAAAGATTTAAATTTTTTAATGTTTGGTTTGTTTCTTGTGCTTTCAGTTTTTGTATTTATTGTTTTTATGCCACATTGGTTTTAGTGCTGTGGTTCTTATATGCTGGTTTCTTATATGCTACCTGGAGCATTTAGGCTGTTTGCTCATGTTAAGCATGGAAAATTGAAGATTTGTTTAGGTTTCGTTCTGTCTTAGCATGACTTAGAAACCCAACTTGTTTGGTAATTTGACATTGGATTAGCCACATCCAGAAAATGGATTAAAAGCAGCAGCCAAGTTAAACATGTTGTGTGAATGCAGCCTTTATAGAGACAGTAATTGAACTTTTTTTGCAAGGCAAGAAATAGACCTTGAAAAAAGAACATGGCCAGTATGATCACTTTTATTTAAAATTTGTTAACTGTTTAAATAATTTTTAAAAAGGATTAAAATGTGTCAGATGGTTTTAGGGGGTTAGTTTTAGTTGAGTTTCCTAAATGAAGAAAAAGTCACAGAGAAAGAGGAAGATGGAAAGAAGAAGAAGGAAGGAAGGAAGGAAGGAAGGAAGGAAGGAAGGAAGGAAAAGAAAGGGCATGGAAAAGAAAGGAAAGGACATGAACTATATAGTTACACAGAGGAAAAAATGCAGTATATGTCTATCATTGTTTTGAGATCACTTTTACTTTCCTTAGCTATTCTTAACTAAGGGAATCAAGCCAGCCCCGGATATCTTACATTTATTTTTAATAGCTGCATCGCAATCCGAAATCTAACGGGGAAGAATTAATTTTTGCTTGATGAATGAGAGTCGAGACCACATTACTTTGGTCTGGGCTTAGAAACCAACAGAAGGGGGGCCCTTTAAGGCTAAACAGTCAGGAGGAAAGCAGCTCCGCCCCCTCCTGACACACGGTCGGGTAGGTGGTGCAAATTGGTCGGGTGGGTGGTGCAAATTCCGTCGGTTCATTCATAAAATTCCGTAAACTCTTAAAGGGCCCACCAGCCGGGTGCTTTTTGAAAATAACCAGCGCTTCAGATGCATTGTGGGAAGAGAAAGTTATTTTCATTTTGCATCAGAGGAACGAATGGCCTTAAAGGCTGTTTGTTAACGTTATTTCCCATCGAAGCGGGGACTGCGGAGATCATGCTTTGATTATTCGGTAATCCATCCTTCTAAACCGGATTCAAGAAGTCCCCCAAGAAAAGAAGGGTGAGTTGAGAATGGCGTCTACAAACCAAGTTCTCCTGCTTAGGTAAATTGCTCCTGTTTGGAATTGCTTCACTGTTTTCTCTTTGGCAATTGCTAATCGGTAGCTGGTCTCTGTGTGATGCCTTCCTTCATCCATTAGCTAATTGCATTTCTATCCTGCTGGGTATGCTGCCCTCACCATGCGTCGGAGGCTTCCTTACAATCTCATTCAGTGCATCACTTCACTTTCAGAGTGTCGACAGCCCTGCAGACACAATAACAACACTGCAATACTAAAATGATCCAAGCCACCATCCAGAGGGATCCTGAAGTTTCAGCTAGTGACAGAAAAGATGATGATGATGAGGAGGAGGAGGAGGACACAATAATAAACCTGCAATTGTTTCCATACACAGAAGCTGGGGATGATTTAAATGGTACGTGCTCAAGTCTGAATGTGGGGATGCAGCAGAATTCAGCTTCTAAAAATCTCTGCTTTTTTTAGAAGAAAAAATGGAAGTTTTTCATTCTTCTGATACAGGTAGTCCTCGGCTTATGACCACAACTGAGCCCCAAATTTCTGTCACTGAGTGAAACAGTTAAGTGAATTTTGCCCCATTTTATAGTTGTTAAGTGAATCGCTGTAGTTAGTAACATGGTTGCTAAGAGAATCTGGCTTCTCAATTGACTTTGTCGCAAAAGGGGATCACATGATTCTGAGACACTGCAACCATTATAAATATGAGCCAGTTGGCAAACAGCCAAATTTTGATCATGTGAGGATGGTGTCAGGGTAATGATTTAAAAGATAACCAGCTGATGTAATGTAAGATGTAATGATGGGAATGACTCAGCAGGGTCTGTGTCTATTTAAGAGCAAGCAGGATCTGTGTCTCTTTAAGAGCTTTGTATAAAAGGGAAGGCTCAGCAGATGTGTGCTCTCTCTTCCGTTTTCTTGCTGTAACTGCTGTGTGTTTAATCCTGCTGTATACCACATGTATGTATATTGTTCCAGATATTGTAGATAGTGTAAGATAGTCACCATTTAATATAGACCACTGTTTACTGTGTTTATTCCTGAATTATCTCAGCGCAATAAGACTGTCCGTGCTCTGACAGATGGGGATGCTGCAATTGTTATAAGTGTGAAAAACAGTCATAGGTCACTTTGTTCATTGCTATTGTAACACCAAATGGTCACTAAGTGAATGGTTGTTAAGTCGAGGAGTACCTGTATCCAAGTTAAGTTAGGAATTATGAAGATGCTGAGTAGTGGAATGTTGTGTCTTTAATTTAAACTGCAATCCTCTGCTCACTGAAAAATAAACCTCATTTAATTCAATAGGATATAGTTTATAATTCTTGGGAGTGGTTGAGTGCCTTGCATAAATGTAATGAGAAAAGATGCAGATTTCACCTGGATGGAAAGTTTCTGTGCTCTGACTTTGGCCAAAAGATCACAGAACAGTTCATTTGTTGAATCTTCTCTGACACATGGAATAAATGTGTCCAGTTTGAATTCTACAAAAGATTGGTGGACATATCTGGAAAAAAAGCTAGTTCTTAACAAAAATGGCATTAATTTAATACTTTTTATTTCTCCTACAGTTCGTTGCCTTAGAGCAGTAGACTGGTCAAAAAAAGTCAAGATGGCTGCCACAATAGCATGACCACCACATATAGACAAAGCTTCAGTTGCTCTGTGGTAGCCATTTTGACTTTTTTGACCACACCCTGTGGATACTCCTGCCTTAGTGTATCTTGGATGAACTCAGCTGGGGCCCTAAAACAAGGCTACAGCTTAGCAAGCCCCATGTGAATCTCGCTAATTGTGGACAAGTCAATAAACTGAAGATTCTCTTTCTTTTATTTCTCAAAATGCAGATGGGATCCTGAAGCGTTCCAGTACCCTGACAAACCGTCAACGTGGCAATGAAGTCTCTGCCTTGCCAGCCACTTTGGATAGTGAGTTTTTTCTGTGTCATAAAAGCAAACCCATTTAGGTCATGTGATTCCAGCTGTCAAAATTAAGCACAGAGAGAGGAAAACCTGTTGGAGTAGAAGACCAAAAGGCAAAAGGCATTCAAATATTATTTTAAATATTTTATCTGAGAAATTGTATTTATTTATTATAAACTTTATAGCTTCGTAGTTGTTCATAAACCTCAGGGTAGTTCACAGTTCATGCAAGTACTTATATATAAAGCAACACAGCTCATTAACATGAAGCTCCAAAATCATAGAACGTAAGGGTTGGAAGGAATCTTGGAGATCATCTAGTCCAACCCCTTGCCAGTGCAGGATTCACTGCAGTTACTAACTCACAGGTGTCAAACTCGCTGCGTCATGTGACGTGTCACCACATATCATGACTTTTTTTTGCATTGCCGGATCTGGGGTGGGCGCGGCCTGTATATGATGCAACTGGCCCGTGGGCTGGCAGTTTGACACCCCTACTCTAACTGAAGAAATTCAAAAATTAAAGAGTGACATTTAAAACATTTTTTTTCACTTTAAGTTGCAGTTTTCATGCCGTTGTACACTACTGTATTTGTTTCTATTAAAAAAATAGTTCCTTGGAAGAAAGAAAAAAAGTTTTTTTCTCCTTGTTCTGAAAATCTGCTAGGCTTTTGCCAGCATCTGATTCATTGAATTGATTAACCAGTTCAAATATGGATGAATCAAGCTGGGCCAGCTCAGTTGTTGTTTTTTGAACATTCACTTTAATGGTTCAAATCAGGTCTGATTTAGAGATTAGGGTCACATCAATTTATGTGGATTGACTTGCATGTTGCAAAATAAATGGAGCTAATTTGTACTCCCTTAATAAAATACACGCTGTACGAGGCACTAGATGAAAAATTCAGTTTCCTTATAATCTAGCTTTAATGTTCATTGTTCTTTAAGTCAAGTTTCTGTCCCATGGGTTTGATGAGATAATGTGTGTTTTGCTAAAGGGATGAATAAGATTTCTACAAGTTTAAAAATATAACACTTAGCTCTTTCCTCATCACTGAAATCAGTATAAAATTGCACAATATGATTTTTTTTCAGACTAGCAACTCTATACCTCAATAAATCTGAAATGTGCTAGATCAGGGGTCTTCAAACTTGGCCCTTTTATGACTTGTGGACTTCAACTCCCAGAATTCCTCAGCCAGCGTGCCTGGCAGAGGAATTCTGGGAGTTGAAGTCCACAAGTCATAAAAGGGCCAAGTTTGAAGACCCCTGTGCTAGATTATTAAAAAAATATTCACAGTCGCATTATATGGAACAGTTCACTCATATGTATTAATTTATTAACATTTTAAACCACCCTTAAGCTGTCTTGATCATTGTCTTCTCTTTTGATTTCCCAGCTCTGTCCATTCACCAGCTTGCAGCTCAGGGTGAACTGATTTTGTTAAAGGAAAGCCTCCGAAAAGGTGAGCCGTGAAATTTCTCTATTTCTCACTCTTCTGCTAGAGCAGTGGTTCTCAACCTTTTTAATGCTGCGACCCCCAACCGGTCGTAAGTCGAGGACTACTCAACCGGTCGTAAGTCAAGGACTACTCAACTGGTGCAGCACCGTTTGCAGAATGGGACTTTTGGCGGGCTCAGCAGGGCAGAGACAGCCTGGACAATTCCTATTGGCTTTTGAAAGCCAATAGAATTAGACTCTATTCAAGAAAGTCTATTCTATTGGCTTTCAAAAGCCAATAGAATAAAAGGGAGTAGCACAGCTAAGGAAAAGGGGAAAAAAATGGCGGACTGCGTTGTTTGGCGACCCCCGTGAAATGGTCATTTGACCCCAAATGGGGTGCTAACCCAAGGTTGAGAACCACTGTGCTAGAGAGTCTTAGTTTGAGCCACTTTAAGAATTGTGGACTTCAGTTCTCAGAATTCCCCAGCCATGCTGGCTGAGGACTTCTGGGAGTTGAAGTCCACACCTCTTAATGTTGCTCTGTTTGCAAAGAGCTATGTTAGAGCAGTATTTCTTAAACTTTCTATCAGGACCCCTTTTCACTTTTAAAAATTATGGAGTTTTTATTTGTCCGAATTACATTTGCCGTATTCAAAATTAAAAACGCATTTGCCGCTGCTACAGTCTCATGCTTGATTGATGGGATTTTAATGTTTTATTAGTTTTCAACATAGGCTGGCAAATAATTTTGACTTTGAGGACTTCTGAGAGTGTCTTGGGGGAACCTCCAGCAGTTCTAGGGCCATACTTTAAGAAGCACCGTTCTAGAGGAATACAGCCTGGAGATTGTTCACTCAGTAATAGTTTTATGTTCAAAATATTTCAGCAGTGATCGGAACGACAGAAATCTTCAAAACATCCTTCCACCTTTGACTCCTGTCTACCGGGTAACCTAATATAACCTACCTCACAGAATTGTTGTTAGAGGCAGATGAAATGGATCCATTGTCCTGATTTTTGCTGAAAGAAGGATGGCAACGAGACTAGATTGGGGCTCTGTAGTTGTTTGGAGTTAGAGGTTTGACTGGAATTTTCAGAGTTCACAAAATGGCGACTCTTGAGAGGCTTCCCCATTTCAAAAATGGCTGTCATGGTGGACACAATCAGTCACAGTCTTGAACAGGATGTAGAAGTAGCACCGTGGAATATTAGCTATCCTTTCAGTGGCATTTGTGTGTGGGTCACTGATTCATTCCTAGAAATAAAACTGCTATGGTTGGTTCCTTGCTCTGCACTCTGCCAGCCTCTTCTGCAGGTAGTCCTTGACTTACAGCCATTCGTTTAGCGACCTTTCAAAGTTACAATGACATTGAAAAAAGTGACAACCAGTCCTCACATTTACAACCATTGCAGCATCCTCATGGTCACGTGATCAAAATGCTTCCAGAAGCGGTGGATGTTCCAACACTGGAAGTTTTTAAGAAGAGATTGGACAGCCATTTGTCTGAGATGATATAGGGCAACCTTGGCTCTTTTATGACTCGTGGACTTCAACTCCCAGAATTCCTGAGCCAACCATGCTGAGGGGAAGGGAGAGGTTTCCAAGCTGAGCCATGCTGGCTCAGGAATTCTGGGAGTTGAAGTCCACAAGTCATAAAAGAGCCAAGGTTGCCTACCCCTGGTATAGGGTTTCCTGCCTGAGCAGGGGGTTAGACTAGATCAGGGCTTTTCAACCTTTTCACCCATTGTACCACTTTTAGGATATGGTAACATCAGAGTACCACCAGTCACCTAGCAAGGTGTCAAAAACTTGATGACCCAAAAAAAAAAAAGGAAAAAAGTGATAAAGTATAGGTAGTCCTCGACTTACAACAGTTTGCTTAATGACTGTTCGAAGTTACAATGGCACTGAAAAAAGTGCCCCCCAAGCCACAGCCGAGCAAGACGCCTGCCCACCCAGTGGCGCTCTTCCTCCTGTCCGAGATTTTAATTGTTGTGAGCATTTCTGTTGAGGATTGGCAGCGGGGGTGGGGTGTTTGGTTTTTATTCCCCTTGTCTGCTGGGTGGTTGCAGCAGGTTTTGGTCACTTCACATGACCTTGGGACACTGTGACCATCATAAATATGAATCAGTTGCCAAGCATCTGAATGTAAATCAGAAGACCCTGGAAAATGCTGCAACATTCCAGCTGATTGGCGCTTCTTCTGGGCTCAGCAGAAGCACCAGGATCAGTGCTACTTTGCAGCTGATTGGTGCTTCTTCAGGGCTCAGCAAAAGCACCAGGATCAGCGCCAAGCTCCAGCTGGAGCCTGGCACTGATCCTGGCACTGATCCTGGCGCTTCCACTGAGCCTTGACAGCCCCAAAGAAGCGCCAATCAGCTGGAAAGCGGCACTGATCTTAGTGCTTCTGCTGAGCCCTGACAGCCCTGCAGCTCCAGCCATCTCTCGCTCAGGCTTGTGCGGTGCTACCACTGATTCAGCTCATTCCCCTCCCCCGCTACCACTTTTCTAGGATGGTCGCGTACCACCTGCCAGGTGCCAATGTACCACAGGTGGTACCCATACCACTGGTTGAAAATCCCTGGACTAGATGACCTCCAAGGTCTCTTCCAATTTTTTTGTTATCGTTAGTTGTTGTTGTTATTATTATTAATATTATTTTGACACTTTAGCAACCGGCATGTATTTAGAACAGTTGCAGTGTCCCGGGGTCATGTGACCACCATTTGCAGCCTTCCCAGTTGGCTTCAGACAAGCAAAGTCAATGTGGAAAGCTGGATTTGCTTCATGATCTTGTGATTCACTTAACAACTGCAGTGATTCATTTAACCACCATGGCCAAATAAAGTTGTAAAACTTACCAACCGCCTTGCGTAAACAACAGAAATTCCGGCCTCAGTTTTGGTCTAAGACTAGTCAAGGACTACCTGTATATTATTAATTTTTAATGAAAAGAATATTTAAAATCGGAGCGTAAGGAAGCGTGATGGGCACCAAGGGAGGATTAGAAAGCGGGCTGCTTCCCCCATTAAGGATCGCATGGGGCTGTCGAAGGGCCTTTAAACCCCTACAAGCTGCTCCTCCAAAACCTTTTGATTTCAATCAAGCCCTATTGCCCACTTCATCCTTCTTACAGGTGAGAATCTGCTGAACAAGCCCGACGAGCGAGGATTCACCCCTCTGATGTGGGCCTCGGCTTTCGGAGAGATTGAAACCGTCCGCAGCATGCTAGACTGGGTACGAAAGCTTGCCCGGAGACAACAGCCTTAGAAAGCCAACATTTCTGGCAGCAGTTGTGAGCGATCTCTAAACCTTTCTCTTACTCTCTGTAGGGCGCAGATCCCCATGTCCTTGCTAAGGAACGAGAGAGTGCCTTGTCCCTGGCCAGCACAGGAGGATACACAGGCATTGTCACCTTGCTGTTGGAGAAGGCTGTGGACATCAACACCTATGATTGGGTAACACTGACACTGAGGGAGGAGAGCTGAAGTGGTTCAGTAAGATAGAATGATTGACAGGGTCAAAAACCGCGGAGAGATCCTATAGCAGTGGTGGTGAACCTATGGCACGCATGCCAGAGGCGGCACTCAGAGCCCTCTCTGTGAGCACATGTGCCATGCTCCAGAGATGGCAACTGTCCCTCTTCAATCAGCCGCCCGCTAACTCGCCGAGGTCTCACGTGGCTGGATGCATCCCAGCATGCCTGGTTTTCCTCCCCCCCCTTCCTATCCCTCCTGGCCTCGCATGCTCTCCTTTTCCTGGGCATGACCTACTGCATCGCCTCCTCAGCTGTCAGCTGGCCATCCAACTCAGAGGCGGCTTCTCTGAACTGCTGGTGGCAGGCTGCGGAGCCCCAGAGTGCGTCGGTCAAGGGACTGGCAGGCTGTGGCTGCTGATGGACACTGTCGGCCCTCATGCACTCACTGGCCTCTGTGTGCAGGGACCGATAGTGTCAGGCAGCAGCCGCCCCAGCCCTTGCCTCACCTTGCCCTGCGACAATGGCACCCCCGCCCTGCCTCACCTTGCCTCCCCTCACCCTGCAGGACGAGCCTCCTGCCCACCGCCCCACCTGCCAGAGAACCCCTGGATCTCCCCCAACCCTGCCCGGTCCCCACAGGTGTCCCCCCACGAGCAACATCGAGGTGACCACGCCCACCACAGCCACGCCTACCACAGCCACGCTCACCCAGTGGGCCACGCCCACCTGGCACCCAGTGATAAATAAGTGGGTTTTGGGTTGCAGTTTGAGCACTCGGTCTCTAAAAGGTTCGCCATCACTGTCCTATAGGATCAGCTTTGCTTGATCCAACCATTTATGGTTTTGGTACTTTCTCCAGGTTTGAACCTGGATGGAAGAACATTGAGATAATCTGCTTCCTCTTTGGTTCTTTATAATTGCAAGCCCCCCATCTTTTCAACAACCTTCTCTAAAACGGGGAGATTGAAGACAGGATGGTGGTGATCTAATAGCCGCCTCTGTCTCTTTCTCTTGGGGGATTAAGTGGGCAACAGTTTGGACACCGTCCCAGAGTATGAATGCGTTTGGGGTCAACATAACGTAATTGATAGAGGTTTGGTAAATTAACTCAGAATTGCCGTGATGTTATTTTGGATTAAAGCTGCCCTTTTCTAGCCCCAATCAAGACAGGTTCCTTAAACGGACCTGATAGGTGTGTTGTATGAACCCAACCTGCTTTTTCCAACCCCTAAAGTCCAAAAGGGCTGAACATTCAGTCTCTCCTATATTCTTGTTTTGTTGATTATTTTGATTATAGTTGACCTTTCTCCCCAAAAGGCATAACATCATCATCATCATCATCATCACTATAATCCAGTGATGGTGAACCTTTTAGAGACCGAGTGCCCAAAAACTGCCCCTGTCCCCACTCTATCCACCCATCCCCCGTACCGCGTGCCCGCAGGGCCACTCACCACCTCCAGAGCCCACTGCAGATCGCCCAGGCAGCCCAGCAGCGCTATGGTGGTCACGCCCTCTGCCCGCGCCCTGCAGCATCAATTGTGCACAATGGGGTGTGAGGGCGGAGTCTTGTCTATGCTGCCTGGCTGCCATGTCCTTGGCTGCGCTGCTCCGCGTGGGCCACGCTCAGGGGCGACTCTCCTTCAGGGGGGCTGCTGGGGAGGAGGGGGTCATGGGGGAGGCTAAGCTGGGGCAACGGCACGTGTGCCCACAGAGAGGGCTCCAAGTGCTGCCTCTGGCACCCGTGCCATAGGTTCGCCACCACTGCTATAGTCCTACAAGATGAGACTAAGAAGCTATAACTGAAGTCAGATTTGTGGCTGAAAGGGGTTATGAATACAACTCAACTTTAAAATTTGAATCTGGCCTTTTTCAGCCCTATTATCTTCTATAGAGGCTGGACTCCAGGCCCCACTGTTCCATTATAGGAGCCGAGGTGGCGCAGCAGTTAGAGTGCAGTACTGCAGGCCACTTTAGCTGACTGTGTTCAGCAGGTCAGCGGTTCAAATCTCACCGGCTCAAGGTTGACTCAGCCTTCCATCCTTCCGGGGTAGGTAAAATGAGGACCCAGATTGTTGGGGGCAATTAAATATATATATATACATTGCTTACTGGTGTACACCGCTTAGAGAGTGCTTGCACTTAAAGCGGTATATAAGTCTCATAAATAAATAAAATAAATAAATTAAGGCATGCTGGCTGGGGATTATGGGAGCTGTTCTAGAACCTCTGGTTAGAGAAGCTAAGGGCAGGTGCACTCTGCCCCCTTGATAAAAAGGCATTTAGAAAAGAGAGAGAGAGCTGTGATTACACCTCAGAGTTGTGTTGCTCAACCTTGGGAATTTTAAGAAGCACCAGAAAGCAAGACAAGAAGTAATGGATGGAAACTAAATCAAGGAGAGAAGCAACCTAGAACTAAGGAGAAATTTCCTAATGGTGAGAACAATTAACCAGTGGAATCGCTTGTACTCAAAAGTTGTGAGTGCTGCATCACTGGAGGCTTTTAAGAAGAGATTAGACAGCCATTTCTCTGAAATGGTATAAGACAGGGATCTTCAAACTTGGCCCTTTTAATTTGGAGAGAGGAGTTGCTCGGACATTACCCCTGATTTGTATCTGAAGAGGGATGAGAGGGAAGAAAGGAGAGGAGAGAGAAAAGAGTAAAGGAGGGGAGAAGGAAGTAGGAAGGTTGGAGGAGAAGAGGAGAAGTGGGGAGAAAGGGGAGGAGAGTGGTGAAGGAAAGAGAAGAGGAGAGGAAGAAGAGGGAAGTAGGGAAGAGAAGAAAGGGAGAAAGAAGGTAGAGAAGGAGGAGTGTGGATACAGTGAAAGGGGAAATGGGCAAGCAACACCAATAAATAAAATGTATTTATTTCATTTTATTAAAAGTATCTTATATATGAATGTAAAAAGAATGTATATTAACATCTGATAAATATCACGGTATTTGTATGGGGGAGAGTTTGGAAAAATACAAAATTATTTAAAAAAAAACTTGGCCCTTTTATGGCTTGTGGACTTCAACTCCCAGAATTCCTCAGAAAAGTGTGCCTGGCTGAGGAATTCTGGGAGTTGAAGTCCACAAGTCAGAAAAGGGCTAAGTTTGAAGACCCCTGATATAAAATCTCCTGCTCGAGCAGGGAGTTGGACTAGAAGACCTCCAAGGTCCCTTCTAAGTCTGGTATTCTATAATTTTAAGATGCGTGGACTTCAATTTCCAGAATGGCTGGCTGAAGAATTCTGGGAATTGAAGTCCACTCATCTTAAAATTCCCATGGTTGAGAAACACCCCCCTTAGAGCAGGGGTTCTCAACCTTGGCAATTTTAAGACTTGTGGACTTCAACTCCCAGAATTCCATAGCCAGCATTGCTGGCTGTGGAATTCTGGGAGTTGAAGTCCATATGCCTTAAAATTGTCAAGGTTGAGAAACACTGCATTAGATGCTTTGAACATTAACCTCATTGAAATGTGAGGTCAAGGGTGAGCTAGAAACTTCCCTGAGGCAAAAGTTACACCAATCTTCTCACAACCACTCCCCCTCCAAATAAAAAAAATCAAGACAACGGTGGGTTAACTTTATCAACCATCTTTACAGAATGGTGGGACTCCACTGCTTTACGCTGTACGGGGCAATCACGCGAAGTGCGTTGAGGCCTTGCTAGGTAAGTCAAACATACCTGTTACGCTTGATCTTCTAATCCACCATGCCAGAATATTTTTTTCCACAGAGGTTTTTAAAAAGGCAGCCTTTGGGTGGCTTTTAAATTATTTTGAGGTTTAAATGTTTTGCTTTTCATGCATGCTATAGATCAGGGGTAGGCAACCTTGGCTCTTTTATGACTGGTGGACTTCAACTCCCAGAATTCCTGAGCCAGCCATGCTGAGGAGAAAAGAAGAGCTTTCCATGCTGAGCCATGCTGGCTCAGAATTCCGGGAGTTGAAGTCCATGAGTCATAAAAGAGCCAAGGTTGCCTACCCCTGCTATAGATTATAAAACACTGACTGAATTCCATCCAAAATGGTAGGTCCCTGGAGTTTTGGTTTGAGGCAATCGCTCCATCAAAATTTTATGACCTGGTCAGGAGGAATTCTGGCAGATAATAGGTGCCTTGGTGCAATCCCAAAAACATCCGGAGCACCACTTGAGCGCCACTGGCATTGACAAAATCACAATGAGTCAATTGCAAAAAGCAGCTTGACATGGAACAGCTTCCATCCGGTGATGATGCCTTTAGCACCATCAAAGAACATCTGCCTATCCCAGATTTTTAGGAAGGACTTGGGTGGAAATAAAATGCCAAATCCAGCCCAAACATCTGGCTGACTATGCAACCAGCTATTATAATAATACAGGTAGTCCTTGACTTACAACAGTTCATTTAGTGACCGTTCGCAGTTACAAGATGGACAGTGATTAATATTTGTACATATTTATATGTAAGGATGCAGGTATATACATATGTATATAGCATGTGTATATGTGTATTATGTACCTTTATGTGTACACTTTTGAGAGCAGGCAACAGAATTTCATTTTTAATGTGTGCCAGTGTACCCACAGTAAAAAATGACAATAAAAGTTATCCTTGGAATACTGCATCCAGTTTTGGTCACCACGATGTAAAAAAGATGTTGAGACTCTAGAAAGAGGGCAGAGAAGAGCAACAAAGATGATTAGGGGACTGGAGGCTAAAACATATAAGGAACGGTTGCGAGAATTGGGTATGTCTAGTTTAACGAAGAGAAGGACGAGGGGGGACATGATGGCAGTGTTCCAAAATCTCAGGGGCTGCCACAAAGAAGAGGGAGTCAAGCTATTCTCCAAGGCGCCTGAAGGCAGGACGAGAAGCAACGGGTGGAAACTAATCAAGGAGAGAAGCAACCTAGAACTTAGGAGAAACTTCCTGACAGTTAGAACAATTAACCAGTGGAACAACCTGCCTCCAGAAGCTGTGAATGCTTCAACACTGGAAGTTTTAAAGAAGAGACTGGACAGCCATTTGTCTGAAATGGTATAGGGTTTCCTGCCTGAGCAGGGGGTTGGACTAGATGACCTCCAAGGACCCTTCCAACTTTACTATTATTATTATTATCCTATCCTATCTTACAACAGCACTGAAAAAAGTGACTTACGACTGTTTTTTACACTTATGACTGTTGCAGCATCCCCACGGTCATCTGATCAAAATTCAGACGCTCGGCGACTGACTCATATTTATGACGGTTGCAGTGTCCCGGGGTCATGTGATCCCCTTTTGTGACCTGATAAACAAAGTCAATGGGGGACGCCAGATTCACTTAACAACCGTGTTAACTAACTTAACAACTGTAGTTATTCACTTAACAACTGCGACAAGAAAGGTTGTAAATGAGACCAAATTCACTTAACCCAATTCACTTCTTGCTTAGCAACAGAAATTTTGGGCTCAATTGTGGTCATAAGTCAAGGACTACCTATATCTGGGATCCTGCAAGTCACCCTTCTCTGCTGTAATGGAAGCAGATTTCGGCCCATTTAAGTCTCAGCTGCAATGTAAATTCTTCCCAATTTGGCTGCTGTGAAATCCACCATCTATGATGTAGTTATTCATTGTAATTATTTGCCACGATGACATGAGGACTGGTAACCCACCCAGTTTTTGCTGTGTGTTTTCAGCCCGCGGTGCAGACCTTACCACTGAGGCTGATTCTGGCTATACTCCAATGGACCTTGCGGTGGCTTTGGGTCACAAAAAAGGCAAGTGGGGAGGGGGAGGAGGGAATTCTTTTACAGCAGCCCCACCTTCCCAGACAGAGCCAAAGCAAGCCAGAGTGCGTCAGCAGATTTATTGTATAGCACAGAGGTCTTCAAACTTGTCCCTTTGATGACTTGTGGATTTCAATTCCCAGAATTCCTCAGCCAGGCCCGTGTGCCTGGCTGAGGAATTCTTGGAGTTGAAGTTCACAAGTCATAAAAGAGACAAGTTTGAAGACTCCTGGTACAGCACGTTCACATCACATTTTGATAAAAACACAAGAGATAAAACTACAAAATAAGGAATATAAAATCTAAAATAATTACAAATGTATGTCTAGATAACATTTTTTTTGTTTCTTTTGGCACAACAAAGTCTCTATTACAGGTTCTATTTTGGCACTCCATCCCTGCATGTTGAATAGATTGTTTTTCGGCCCCGCAGTTACAATTTGGTGATGGTATTTTGCCCCACTTATACAGGGTTCCTGCGCATGTACCATGGCCAGTGGGAATTTGGCTCAGTGTTGACCATGTTCACTTCCAACTCTGTTATTCTGTTAACAGAATAACAACAGGGCTGGGTTCTAGACAGAGCCAGTCAGCTATGAAACATTTCTAGTAATTATAATAACAAGAGTTGGAAAGGACCTTGGAGGTCATCTAGTCTAACTCCTTGCTCAGGCAGGAAGCCCTTTACCATTTGAGACAAGTGGCTGTCCAGTCTCTTCTTAAAAACTTCCAGTGTTGGAGCATTCACCGCTTCTGGAGGCAGGTTGTCCCACTGATTAATTGTTCTCACTGTCAGGAAATTTCTCCTTAGTTCTAGGTTGGCTCTAAGTGTGAATGCAAGCAGTTCCCTGTGTAAGAGGCTTGGTTCTAGCAAGGATGCCCTCATGGGATATCTCAGTTGTTTAAGGAGCCTGGAAGTGGGTATTACTTATCCAGTTTCCCCCTATTGGGGAATGTTGTGCATTCAGCTATAGATATAACTAATTCTTGACTTACGATTGGTCACTTAGTGACCATTCAAAGTTATGATGACCCAGTCACATGATTGCATCTTGGGTACTCAGCAACTGGTCCGATTTTATGGCGGTGTGCAGTGTCCCATGGTTATGCTGCTTATAAGCGCTATGTGCTTAAAGCTCAAAGCATTGTTAGAGACCCCACGCACCCACTTCACAGTCTGTTTCTGTTGCTCCTCTCTGGGAGGAGGTTTCAAAGTATTTATAGCAGAACTACTAGATCAGTGGTGGCAAACCTATGTCACGCGTGCCAGAGGCGGCACTCAGAGTCCTCTCTGTGGGCACTTCTCTGAACTGGTGGCGGGCTGCAGAGCCCCAGAGTGCATCGGTCGAGGAGCCGGCAGGCTGTGGCTGCTGATGGACATTGTTGGGCCCCATGCGCTCACTGGCCTCTGTGTGCAGGGGCCGATGGTGTCAGGCAGAAATCACCCCAACCCCTGCCTTGCCTTGCCTTGCCCTGAGATAATGGCACCCCCGCCCTGCCTCACCTCACCCCGCAGGACGAGCCTCCTGCCCACCACCCCACCTGCCTGAGACCCCCTGGATCTCCCCCAACCCTGCCCGGCCCCCACAGGCGTCCCCACGAGCAACATCGAGGTGACCATGCCCACATTGGCCACACCCACCCAATCTCCCATGACCACCACAGCCATGCCCACCCAGTGGACCATGCCCACCTGGCACCTGGCGATAAATAAGTGGTTTTGGGTTGCAGTTTGGGCACTCAGTCTCTAAAAGCTTCGCCATCACTGTACTAGATTCTGCAACAACGTTGCTCCTTAGGCCATCCGTCTTGTAAATTCGCAGGGTTGTTTTTTCTCGCCACGCATATGTATACATTCAAACTAGACTGATGTTTCTGTGTATTGTATATGTATGTGGGTATGTGCATAATAGTTATCCTAAATGGAACAAAATTTCATTTTAACGTATGCTGATTGGTGTACCTTTAAAGGGACAATAAAGTTCTATTCTTCTCATGATTTATGGTTTTTTTGTTTTTTTTTTGCTGGAAATTTGCTTTACTTTCTATTTCTGGGCAAAAATGCCCATTGGGAAAATGGATTCATTGGCGGCACTGTTTGCATAATGACTATAGCTAAAAAAAGGTGGTAAAATTGGACAATCCTCCATGACATATGGCAATAATTCCAGGATCAATTGTGGTTGTAAGTCAAGGATTATTATCTGTAGTGCCAGCCTGCAAGGAGTAGGCATCAACTGAAGCCCTGTTACCTGACTGAAATCCAGTGAAAAGCTTCATTTGGTTTCGAACCAGAGTGCAATACAACGTGTTATATGGATCTGCTTTCTGTCGCTCTCCTTCTAAGCTAGTTCTCAGGTTTTCTGGATATTATGTTCTGTTACGGCAGGAATCTTCAAACTTGGCCCTTTTATGACTTGTGGACTTCAGCTCCCAGAATTCCTCAGCCAGGCACGCGTGCCTGGCTGAGGAATTCTGGGAGTTGAAGTCCACAAGTCATAAAAGGGCCAAGTTTGAAGACCCCTGCCGTAACAGCCTGTTCAACACAAGATCACAGGAACTAGCATAGAAGCATGATTGGTGGCTACAATTCCACTTTGTCGCAAAGTGGTACAATTTTAGAAGCAGTATTTTAGAAAATCGATCAGGTTTTTTTAAAAAAAAAATTAAACTGTGCAGGGAAAGGATAGCATTACCAATAGAAAACAATATTTTAGCTCAAGGTTGAATAGTGGAGCCCTTGGTGCTCTCTGAGCTTGGTTGTTTTCTTGAACAAGATATTCAACTAGGTCAGGTAGGCAACCTTGGCCCCTTCATGACTTGTGGACTTCAACTCCCAGAATTCCTGAGCCAGCGTGGCTCAGCTTGGAAACCTCTCCCTTTCCCCTCAGCATGGCTGGCTCAGGAATTCTGGGAGTTGAAGTCCACAAGTCATAAAAGAGCCAAGGTTGCCTACCCCTGAACTAGACAATATCACCAGTGCTAGAAAGGAGTGCCCTGTCAGTGTTGCTGAGTGTGTTGTGTTTTATTCTTAGTAGTTCCTTCATTAGGTTGTTTACTGTTTGTCTGAACTGGTAACTCCATGATTGGCGTATTGTTTACTGTTTGGTTGTTTACTGCTTGAGACAAACAAATAGTAAACAATAGCGTACCAAGAAAACAACACTCCCACCAATGGGGACAGGACGAGCTGCTGTATATAAGTAAGAGAGCAAACCCTTCTCCCTTCTAGCACTGAAGATGTTACATAGTGGGATAATGAAACGTCTGCAATAAAAGATCCAAGCTCAGAGAGCACCAGGAACTCGAAAGGACTTAATTAATGTATTATTACTTGAGAGCTGGTTTGAGGTAGTGGTTAAAGGCACCGGGGAAGAAACCAGGAGCCTTTGAGTTCTAGTTTGGCTTTAGGCGCCAAGCCAGCTGGTGACTTTGCATCAGTCCCAATCTCTCCCTCCTAGGAAGAACAAGGCAAGAAAAAACACCTCCTGAAAATCTTGCTGAGAAAACCGCAGGAAATTGCTCCAGAGTCAAGGCTCAGAAAAGGCAGGTGCACACATTGCACAAAAAAAACCACCTCACTATAGGTAGTCCTCGACTTAACGGCCACAATTGAGCTCAATGTTTCCGTTGCTAAGCGAGTTGAGTTTTGCCCCATTTTACGACCTTCCTTGCCACAGTTGTTAAGTGAATCACTACAGTTATTAAGTTAGTAATATGGTGGTTAAGTGAATCTGGCTTTCCCACTGACTTCAGAAGGTGGCAAAAAGAGAATCGCATGATCCAGGGACGCCGCAGCTGTCAGGAGTATGAACCCAGTTGCCAAAACGTCTGGATTTTGATCACGTGAGCAGGGGGATGCAGCCACGATCACAGATAATGAAAAACTGTCCTAAGTCACTTTTTTTCAGTGTCGTTGTAACTTCAAAGCGAACTGTTTGTAAGTCAAGGACTGTGTGTACCTATCCTTCCTCTGCAGTGGACAGATGAATATAAATCCGGGGTCTTCAAACTTGGCCCTTTTATGACTCGTGGACTTCAACTCCCAGAATTCCTCAGCCAGGCACGCGTGCCTGGCTGAGGAATTCTGGGAGTTGAAGTCCACGAGTCATAAAAGGGCCAAGTTTGACGGCCCCTGATATGAATAATATTTTTCCAAACAATAAAAATTCTTCTTTCTTTGCAGTCCAGCAAGTGATTGAAAAACACATCCTCAAGTTATTGCGGAACAAAGAAAGAGAGGAAAAGGATCTCGAATCAGAATGATGACCGTCTCTTTGTTTTTTTCTCCCGAAACAAGGAAGTGGATGGAAGGGTCTTTGAGGCGGGCACCTTCTATGCCAGCCTGCAGAGATGGTGCAGAACCGGGCATTTTCAGACAACAGGGTACAGAAAGAAGCACCTGAGTTTTTTCCAAAAGAAACTCTGCCTTCTTGAACTATGGCTTACAGGATCCCCCGACATCGAACCTATTTCCTTTTCAAGGAATTGCTAATTTACCTCTCCTGTAGATTTATGGAAATTTCTCCTGAATGTCAAACCATAAATTGGGGGAGGGAAACTGTATTGAGCAGACCTTCCTTTTAAGTCAGGAGTTTCCAAACTTGGCAACTTTTAAGACTTGTGGCCTCCAACTTCCAGAATTCCTCAGGCGGCGTAGTTAAGCTGAGGAATTCTGGGAGTTGAAGTCCACAAGTCTTAAAAGTTGCCAAGTTTGGAGACTCCCCTGCTTTAAGTTGTAAAAAGATCTTATTTGGCTCTGCAAAATGTGTCATTTCCTCAGTTGCTGGAGATGAATTAGGGTTGGGTCAAAGGAAGCTGAACAAAAAACTTTCGCAAGACTGAAGAGAATATTTTTGTTTAATAGAAATATAAATATATATATATATGTATATGTAACAGGCTTGTTCAATGATTTTCATTTTCAAATCAGTTGCTTCTGGTCTGTTTTTTTTTTATGTTTTACTCCTGCTCTTTCTCATTTTCACGAGTGCCTCTGATTTAGGCTTGGATGTACAAGTAGTCCTCGAATTGTGACAATTGGGACCAGACTTTCAGCTGCTAAGCAAGGGGGCTGTTCAATGAGTCATACCTGATTTTATCGCCTTTTTTGCCATGATTGTTAAGCAAATCACATGGCTGTTAAGTGAAACACACAGTTGTTAAAGGAGCCCAGATTTCCTTGACTCTGCTTGCTGGAAGCCGACAGGAGTGATCACATGACGTGAAATGCTGCAACCATCGTAAAGACATGCTGGTTGGTCATGCATCGGTTGTAAGTGTAAGGACCGGTCATAAGCCACTAGTTTTAATGCTGTTGTAACTCTGAATGGTTGCTAAATGAATGGCTGTAAGTCAAGGATTACCTGTAGAGTCAGCATGCTTACGACCGAGCGAAGCTCGCCATTTCATTGCCAGAGCAAGATCTGTTTGTGCTGGTCCGGACCAAACACACCAAAACACCCAGGAAAAGCGATGAACAGAATAACAAAAGTTGGAAGGGACCTTGGAGGTCTTCTAGTCCAACCCCCTGCTCAGGCAGGAAACCCTAGATCAGGGGTAGGCAACCTTGGCTCTTTTATGACTCGTGGACTTCAACTCCCAGAATTCCTGAGCCAGCCGTACTGAGGGGAAAGGGAGAGGTTTCCAAGCTGAGCTATTCTGGCTCAGGAATTCTGGGAGTTGAAGTCCACGAGTCATAAAAGAGCCAAGGTTGCCTACCCCTGCCCTATACTATTTCAGACAAGCGGCTGTCCAGTCTCTTCTTGAAAGCCTTCAGTGACGGAGCACCCACAACGTATGGAGGCAAGCCATTCCACGGACTGTTTTGACCATTAGGAAATTTCTTCTGAGTTCTAGATTGCTTGTCTCCTTGATTCGGTTTCCATCCGTTGTTGTTGTCTTGCCATCCATTTCTCTGGAAAATAGTTTGACACCCCCCCCCCCCTCTTCTCTGAGGCAGTCATCTCGTCCAGTCCTTTTCACTAGACTAGACAAACCCAATTCTTGCCACCATTCTTCCTGTGTTTAGCCTCCAACCTCCATCGGTGTTGCTCTTTTCTGCACTCTTTTCAGAGTCTCTACATCTTTTTGGTGACCAAAATTGGACGCAGTATTCCAAATGTGGTCTTACTAAGGCTTTATAAATGGCATGATTTATTATTGCCTTTAAAAACAAGGGTCCAGGCATCGGGCAGAATGTGAGCATAAGGCACGGGCTCTGCTCTCTCCTCTGTGTGGGCAGCCCTGGCGCCTTGGATGGAGGTGGCAGCTCCAGACTCACCTTCAGAGGCTGACAGCAGCTGCTTGCAGATCCTCAGGCGGTTGTTCCTTTGGAGCAGGCTGCTAATTATTGGTGTCAGAATCTGAGCTCGCCATGACACCACACCCCACACTTTGGGTGCAGCCTTTTGGGGGATTCTGGCTGAGAAGGGTGTAGCTCAGAGACAAATCGTGAGTTTTGCAAGCTGCAGAACACAAGTTTAATTCTTGGCCTGCGTGTGTGTTTCATAAACCACTGCTTAGCAGGGATGGCTAGAAAGGAGTAAAGTAGTCCTTGACCTACCACAATTGGGCCCGGAACCTCCATTGTTAAATGAATCCTGCCTGATTTTACAGACATTTTTGCTGTGGTCATCAAGCAAATATGGCTTCCCCATTGAGATACATACCTACAGTACACTCATTTATTAATTGGATTTATTAATTGGATTTATGTGCCGCCCATCTTGTCAGAAGTCCCTCCAAAGGTCGCAAATGGCAATCAAGTGACCCCAAAAATGCTGCAACCATTGTAAATAGATGTGGTTTGCTGAACATCTGGATTCTGATCATGTGATTGTAGGGACATTGTGACAGTCATGTGCAAGGACCCGTTGTAAATCATTTTTTTTTCAGTGATACTGTAATTGAGTAAATTGTAAGTCAAGGACTACAGTATCTGTACTAGCCCATATGTTCAAATTAGAACTAGAGGTCCTTTCCTTTCAGCATGGAAAATGTAGTTTTTCTTTAATGAAACCTCTAATTACACATCTAAGAGAGAAATTCTTTTCTTTCCAGCTGTTCAAAGTGCTCCTGAAATAGGAGAAAAATGGGGAGGACGTTCATTTGCTTTCGAAGCACCAAACGGAAAGCAGCCAAGTCTAGTTCACACCATCTTAAGAAATCCCAGACTGGTGTTTAGTTTGCCATTTCGACAAATCCTTCAGCTCTTGCTTCTTCCTCTATCAAAGTTTGCCATTTCGACAAATCCTTCAGCTCTTGCTTCCTCCTCTATCAAAGCTTCTGCCCAAGGAGGTCGAGACGGTAGACGATAATTCGCCCAAAGAAATCCGAGCTGTTTTGAAAAGTAATTTTCAGTTTATCCAGGGGTTCTGCCTTGAACGGGAAGCTGTAGAGGAAGCAGGAGTTAAGGAACGGAAGATGCGAATAGAAATAGAATAGAAATACAGTCCCTCCCAAAAAAACACAACTGGGGATGAAGATCCTTTATGGAGGGGTTACGTGATGTACCTAAAATTATTTTTCATTACAGCAATGCATCTATAATGTGAACAGCAATAGCAACAGCACAATATACAGCTTCATAGTGTTTGACAGCCCTCTCTAAGTGCTTTACAGAGTCAGCATATTTCCCCCCAAGAATCTGGGTCCTCATTTTACCGACCTCAGAAGGATGGAAGGCTGAGTCAACATTGAACCAGTGAGAATCAAACTGTGGACAGTTGGCAGAATTAGCCAGCAATACTGCCTTCTAACCACTGCACTGACACACACACACACATATATAGGCCAGTGATGGTGAACCTTTTAGAGACCGAGTGCCCAAAAAACTGGCCCTGCGCCCACTCCACCCCCTGCCCCGCCCCACCCCACCTGCCTGCAGGGCCATTCACTGCCTCCAGGGCCTGCCGCAAATCACCCAGGCAGCCCAGCAGTGCCATGGCGGTCACGCCCTCTGCCCGCGCCCCGCAGCATCAACGATGCACGATGGGCATGAGGGCAGAGTCTTCTCTACGCTGCCTGGCTGCCATGCCTTGGCTGCGTTACTCAGCGTGGGCCAGGCTCGGGGGCGACTCTCCTCCAGGGGGGCTGCTGGTGAGGATGGGGTTGTGGGGGCAGGCAAGGCTGGGGCAACGGCACGTGTGCCCACAGAGAGGGCGCTGAATGCCGCATCTGGCATGCGTGCCATAGGTTCGCCACCACTGATATAGGCAATTGTTAAGTGAATTGCACCCAACTTTATGACCTTTTTGCCATGGTTGTTAAGCAGATCGTTGCAGTCATTAAGTAAATCATGCAATCATTAAGCAAACCTGGCTTCCCGCGTTGACTTCGCTTGTCGGAAGCCAGCTGGGGAGATTGCAAACGGTGATCACATGACCCCAGGACCCTGGAACCATATAAATACACGCTGGTTGCCAAGGGCTTGGATTTAGATCCTGTGAGTGGGGATGCTGCAGGGGTTTGGTTAGAATCAAACTCCTGGCAGCGAGCAGAGTCAGCCTGCAATACTGCATTCTAACCGCAGGGTAGCAAAGGCTTGATCTACTGAAGCGTTGATCCCCAAGGTAGGGAAGAACATTCACAAGCATTTCAAGCAACAATGGGGAAAAGGTTGTGGGAATGCAAGGAGGAACAAAATAGGAAACAGAGAGGCAATTGCACCAGAAAACCCTGCAGGGCTGTCTATGAGCCCTGGATCCACACATTTTGTAATTTCGCTTCTTGGAGTTCTGAATTAGTCGATAAAGGATATCTGGAGAGAGTTGCTATCTTCAGGGTAGAATTCAGCTAGGGTGGAGAGATCTTCTGCTTTCCGGCCACCTTTGGAAATTTGAATGCAAAGAAACAAGATGTGCCGTTGTGAAAATACTTGGGAACTGTTTTTCGCTGGTATTATCAGGCACCCGTCACTTCACAATGAAAATAATTTGGAAAGGAAAAATACTGAGGAAGAGATAGTACGGGTAGTCCTTGACTTACAACTGGTTGTTTAGCGACCGTTCGGAGTTACGACAGACCTCCCCAGAGTTACTTATGACCAGGGCTTTTTTTGGTCATAGAACATCCAGAATGGAGTTCCAGCACCTTTTTGGGATGGAACCTTGTAGGGTAGGCAAGGCGGGTTGTATGACGTGTGTGAGTTCCAGCACCTTTTATTTTTTTTACAAAAAAAGTACTGCTTACGACTCAGTTCAGCTGACTCTCCATAATGTGACTGGATTTTGATGCTTAACAATCGGCCAGCATTTATAGCCATTTGCAGCATCCCACAGTCATTTGACTGGATTTATTTCCCGGTTTTGCTAAAAACTGGCATTTACTTCAGTTTTTTTGACAAAATTGGCTAATAGCGAACCATTGGTTTGCTTGATAAATGGGGCCTTCACTTAATAACCGCTGCAAAAAACCAACAACAAAATCTGAAAACAGATCGGTCACAGGGGCGACTTGATTTATGACGGTCAGACTTACAACCATGATGCTCCATTATGGTCGTTGAGAACTACCTATATTGCAAGACTTCTTCTAGCCGCTGCCTGATTCCAGCCAATCACCCTATTCCTGCTAGATGTAGTAAGCTATGATGGGCAAGCCAACTAGTCTATCTCATTGGTGTTTAAAAAAATCAAATTCACCCAAAGAAATCTGATGAAGCCAGGGATGTTTCTACAGAATGGACTAGTAAAACTGCAGAGTTTAAGCCATCACCAGTTTAAAAGAGTACAGAGAAGAGCAACAAAGATGATTAGGGGACTGGAGGCTAAAACATATAAGGAACAGTTGCTGGAATTGGGTAGGTCTAGTTTAACGAAGAGAAGGACAAGGGGGGACATGATAGTAGCGCTCCAATATCTCAGGGGCTGCCCCAAAGAAGAATGGGTCAACCTCTTCTCTAAAGCAGCTGAAGGCAGGACAAGTAACAATGGATGGAAACTAATCAAAGAGAGAAGCAACCTGGAACTAAGGAGAAACTTCCTGACAGTTAGAACAATTAACCAATGGAACAACCTGCCTCCAGAAGCAGTGAATGCTCCAACACTGGAAGTTTTTAAGAAGAGACTGGACAATCATTTGTCTGAAATGGTGTAGGGTTCCTGCCTGAGCAAGGGATTGGACTCGATGACCTCCAAGATCCCTTCCAACTTTACTATTACTACTACTACTATTATTATTATTATGTCAGGGGTCCCCAACCCCTGGTCCATGGACCGGTATTGGTCTGCAGCATGCCAGCAACTGGTCCGCACAAACAAGTAAAGCTCCATCTGCAGGATGCAGGCAGCACATGAAACCACGCACTCTCCGGTCCGTGGAAGAACCTCTCTCCACGGAACCGGTCCCTGGTGCCCAAAAGGTTGGGGACCTCTGGTCTAAGTGAACATATCACAGCAAGCTCTCAAGGGATCTCTCTGGTCTCTTACCTGGCCAATACCTTAAGGCCTTGAACCATTCCAAAAAACTTCATGGGCAACCATGAGAAGACAGAATGGTGGGGGTCTGGGAAAATTCCTTATATTTTTCCCTTCAATGCGCCACAAAGTAAATTCAACAGAGCTCTTGTCAGTCCAAACTTTGTTTTTCTTTCCTTAGGTACTTTTTATCTTCTGTTCCCCTCATAATCAGTAACAAGAGGCCAAACAGGCTTCGTATGAAGGGAGAGACAGTCAGGAGTTAGAGAGAAGTACAAAATGAGGCATCCTTTAGGCTTTTTTAAGCACTGACTTGCTAATTTCCAACACTGGTCAGGTTTCTGCCCGAAATCTGACCGTAAAAGCCTATTTTGCTGTTCTCTCAGCATCTAATAATAAAAAATATAACTTTTATACGTGAAGCACTTATAGCCAGCTTGTTAGCATGAAGTTTATTTTATACAGATTTCCACAACAAGTGGTTTTAAAAAAACTCCAAGCTGTATGCATCCTATCAATATACTAAATGAAATACTATTTTACTACAATACAGAAATACTAAATAAAATACAAAATTAAACATTATATACAAGGTAAACATTTTCCTTGTCCAGTTTCCAATTCTAGGGGGCAGTGAGCTCATCTGTTTCTTAGTCAAGGGGGGGGGGGGAATGCTGTCCAAAGATGCTTCTGTAGTCATGTGGCTGGCGTGATTATAGGCCGAGGCGTACAGAGCGCTGTTACCTTCCCACAGAAGTAGTATCTATTTACCTCAGCATGGCTGGCTCAGGAATTCTGGGAGTTGAAGTCCATGAGTCATAAAAGAGCCAAGGTTGCCTACTCCTGCACCACTGAGCCACGTGTTAAATGCATTTAAATATGTAAAACACACACACACACACACACACACACACACACACACACAACCTACCTCTGTCTCTCAAATAGAAGAAGACTGGGCAAGGACATGCATTTTTAACTGTGGTGAGTTTTTTACCTTGCAGAATGCATTTTCGGCTTGCAAATCCCCCCTGAAACTGAATCTGAATTTGAGACGCCTGGATGGTCTGAGGAAATTCCAATATCAGCCACTGGATGGCACCCTAATACAGCAAAACAAACAAACAAACAAACAAAAAAACAGGACATCATCAACTTAAGAGAAATTCAAACAAATAGAAAAATATAAAAAGGCAGATAGTATAAAAAGAAAAGCTTTCTATCCAAGTTCTCTCTCTCACACACACACATACAGAGACCAAAAAAAAAAAAGAAAAAAAAAAAGGCAGCTGCAACAGCCTAATGCAGAGGTCTCCAACCTTGGCCACTTTATGACTTGTGGACTTCAACTCCCAGAATTCTTCAGCCAGCCATGCTGGGCTGAGGAATTCTGAGAGTTGAAGTCCACAAGTCATAAAAGGGCCACGGCGGGACCCCAGGCCTAATGGCTGTTTTTTTAACCATGGCAACCTTTAAGATGTGTGGACTCCAGCTCCCAGAATTCCCCAGCTTCCCCCCCCCCCCAGCAATTCCCCAATTTGGGCCTGTCACTCTCTCCCACACCAGCCCAGGGTTGTTGTTGTGGAGAAAAATAGGCGGTGAGAGGAATATTAGGTATCTTCACCGCCTTGAGATACTTATACAAAATAATAAAAGTGGGATTAAAAAAAAAATCTAATAGATAAACGTTGGCCTAGTTCGCAAATGAGTTGTAAGGTTCACAAGACGCTTGTGTGAATGCTCCGGGCAACATTGTAGGATGTTACTTATAAGAGTTCACCTGGTCTGAATTCCAACAGGTTTCTTCATTTCCGTCAAACATGTACTTCTTTCCAAATTGCTTCACCTCTCGGTTGAGGACGGAGCTCACCCTAAGGGTGCAGAAAACAAAAGCCAAGGGTGGAGAAGAGTTTCTTTTCCAGATTTCAACGCAAAACTAACCGGCAGCACAGAAATTTTGCACTTTTAATTACAGAATAATAGAACTGGAAGGGGCCTTGAAGGTCTTCTAGTCCAACCCCTGCTCGAGTAGATCCTATAGTACCATTTCAGACAAACGGTTGTCCAATCTCTTCTTGGAAAACCTCCAGTGATGGAGCACCCACAACTTTTGGGGGCAAGTCCTTCCACTGGTTAATGGTTCTCACCGATAGGAAATTTCTTCATACGGATAGTACTCGACTTACAACAGTTCATTTAGTGACTATTTGAAGTTACAACACTGAAAAAAGGGACTTACGACCATTTTTCACACTTAGGACGGCTGCAAAATAGTCACGGGATCAGATACTTGGCAACTGGTTCTTATTTACGATGGTTGCAGTGTGATCCCCTTTTACGCCCTTCTGGCAGGCAAAGTCAATGGGGAAGCTAGACTGACTTAACAACCATGTTACTCACTTAACAAGGGCAGGAATTTACAAAGCCCTAATAAGACCACACGTGGAATACTGCAGCCAATTTTGGTCACCATATCACAAAAAAGATGTTGAGAGTTTGGAAAAAATTCAGAGAAGAGCAACTAAGATGATCAAAGGTCTGGAAACCAAAACATATGAAGAACGGCTGCGGGACTTGGGTTTGGATAGTCTAAAGAAAAGAAGAAATAGGGAAGACATGATAGCAGTGTTCCAGTATTTGAGAGGCTGCCACAAAGAAGAGGGGGGCACGTTATTCACCAGAGCATCAGAGGGCAGGACGAGAAACAATGGTTGGAAGCTGATCAAAGAGAGAAGCAACCTGGAATTAAAGAGAAACTTCCTGATAGTGAGGACAATCAACCAGTGGAACAGCTTACCCCGAGAAATTGTGGGCGTTCCATCACTGGAGGTTTTTAAGAAAAAACTAGATAATCACTTGTCTGAGATGGTGTAGTTCTCCTGCTTGAGCAGGGGGCTGGACTAGAAGACCTCCGGGGTCCCTTTGAGCTCTATTCTATTCTATTCTATTCTATTCTATTCTATTCTATTCTATAGGCAAGAAAGGTCGTAAAATGTAGCAAAACTCACTTAACAACTGTCTCACTTAGCAACAGAATTTTTGGGCTCAATTGTGGTCGTAAGTCGAGGACTACCTGTAATTCTTGGTTCCATCTCTCTTTGATAAGATTCCATCCGTCGTTCTTAGTCCTTTTGAAAACGAAGATCCAAAGTTGCACTCACCTGCTTATAGTTTCAGAGCAAATCAGGGAAGACACGGCCATGACTTTTTCTTCCGGTCAGATAAAAAGAATAACAGAAGTGACTCGATGCCGAATGGAACACTGAGGATGCACATGCATGTGTTCTTCCAAGGACTATAGTCTATTTTATTAAAGAAGAATCAGAACAGAATTAATTTGGAACCAGTCTTATCAAATCATTCCTAGAACTAACACACATTTAGATATTCAACACTGTAGATCAGTGTTTCTCAACCTTAACAGCTTGAAGATGAGTGGACTTCATCTCCCGGAAATCCCCACCCACAAGTCATAAAAGGGCCAAGTTTGAAGGCCCCTGTATTAAATCAATGTGGCCTAGTAGTTAAGACAGCAAGTTAGAAACTGGGAGATGGTGAGTTGTAGCCCCACCCCAGGCTGGCTGGGTGATCCTGGGCCAATTACCAGGAGACAGCAAGTTCCAGTACCGCTTTAGGCATGAAAGCTGGCTGGGTGGACCAGTTGCTCTGTCTCAGCCCAATCCACCTCACAGGGTTGATGTGGTAGGGACAATGGGAGGAGGAAGGAATATTAGGTACGTAGGCTGCCTTGAATTTTTTTAAAAATAATAAAGGCAGAACATAATAAGTGGGTAAAAAAGTAAATAAACAAAAGCCATTAGAGAGCAATATAAAGAGTGATCCATGCTGGGCTCTCTGAAGGCAGAACTATTCAACATATAGTGCAAATAGACCTAATAACAATAAAAACAATTGAATTTTATTTGTAGAATTATATGAGGCTTTTATTTTAACTGCTGCCCTCCCCATTTTATCTCAGTTCTAATTTTTTTTTAAATCATCCTACTCAAACATTATTTTGCAGCACATGTCATAGTAAGTTGTTAAAGCTAATCAAGGATATTTTAATTAAAGTAATTAAAAAAAAAGAGTTAAACTCTATAGATGTAGCATGTGGTTATAATTTATTGAATTAAATCACAAGTAACTGGATTTAAACAGCCTGGTAAGCTCTAAACCACAATTTACAAAGCTGTACCAGCTGCTTTTATATGATACACTAATGCTAAAATAAAACTAACCACATTGTGGATTACCAGTAGCAGGATATGAGAACAATTAACCAGTGGAACAACCTGCCTCCAGAAGCGGTGAATGCTCCAACACTGGAAGTTTTTAAGAAAAGACTGGACAGCCATTTGCCCGAAATGGTATAGGGTTACCTGCCTGAGCAGGGGGTTGGACTTGATGACCTCCAAGGTCCCTTCCAACTTTATGATGATGATGATGATGATATCTGGGCCTAGCCAATAATGCAAGCTGTTCATTTTAGTATAGTTTTTATCCTACACATGCTTGAACTTCAGTTTCCACAATTCCCCAACTAGCACAACCAAGTCTCTGCTAAGGATTCTGGGAACTGAAGTCCACACATCTGCCTAGATTAGAATGACTAGGTAGACAGGCTTTTAAAAAAATCTCTGTGATTTATGAAGCCACCCACTTATTATATTTGGTCTTAAGCCACGGTTTAAAAACATTTTTAATTAGGCTTTAAACTGAATTAATATTTTAATTAAACCATTAACACCTTAATGGCAAAAGATCTAAAGGTTAGGCTTTAACATTAGTATGAACAGAGTCACAATCTTTACCAGAATTTTACTCCCAGGAAATCTTTTTTCCCCCTGCAGAGCTGTGTCTCTCAGAGGACCACTTTTAATTTATTTAAATAGTTTCTAAACTATCTTTGAAGATAAAAATCACCCTAGTATTCAGAGGTACCCCAGCTTCTCACAACGCAATATATAGACCTTTTCCCGTTTATTGTGTGCAAGCTCTAACCAGGAATTTAATCCCCAAATCAATGTTTTTCAAGCTTGACAACTTTAAGTGATGTGGACTTCAACTCCCAGAATTCAGCAGGGCCGGCTGGGGAGTTCTGGGAATTGAAGTCCACTCCTCTTAAAGTTGCTAACCTTGAAAAACACTGATCTAGATCCAACCTTTCCCCCTCTTTCCAGCATGGAGATTTAAGCAACAGTTCTTTTGACTAAGCCAGGGATCTTCAAACTTGGCCCTTTTATGACCTGTGGACTCCAACTCCCAGAATTCCTCAGCCAGCAACGCTGGCTGAGGAATTCTGGGAGTTGGAGTTCACAAGTCATAAAAGGGCCAAGTTTGAAGACCCCTGGCCTAAGCAATTGCATGCACAAAAAGCAAAAGAGCAGGGGCCAGGGAAAACTTTGGCAACCGGCTTTTCATACTGACCTGCAAATTTTGCGGAGAGGAGCAGACATCGAAAATGACATCGATACAGCCCGTTTCTTAGAAATATTTCTTATTCTCTCCCATCCAGGCAGGAAACAAGACAGAGAATCAGGAACAGAAGCAAAGTGCAGGAGAAACTCGCCTCGTGCCATCCACGCTTCCGGTTTCCTGAAGCCCTGGAAACTCTTAAAGAGACACGACGGAAAAGATCTGAAAAAATATATACATATAAAATCCAAAATGGTAGGTTGCGTCACCCCTCGTTCTCCACGAGGTGGCGGTAGCCGCGCAGCGGTGAGAAAATCAGGACTGCATATTTAAAGCGGAGTTACAGAGCAATAACAACGATGCAAAAAATTGCAGAATAAATTTCCAGGAGGCTTAGGGACAAGCCTGTTAGGCGGTGAGATTCTTTTTTGCAAAATGAGAAAAATTACAGTAACAGTAATAGTATAATAGAGTTAGAAGGGACTTTGGAGGTCTTCTAGTCCAACCCCCAGCAGGACACCTATAGTATACCTTTCTGGACAAACGGCTTTAGCTTTGCGATGGCTGGTGCGGGTGAAATTAGAGCCTCCATAGACAGAGGCAGTTTAGCCCTGAGTACAGGTAGTCCTTGACTTACAGTCACAGTTGAGTCCAAAAATTCCAATGCAAGGCAGTTGTTAAGTGAAAACAGTGGTTCATGATTGGTCCTCGCAGTTATGACTCCAGAGCCCTTAACAACTGCCCTGCTTAGCAACAGAAATTCTAATCCCAATTGTGGTTGTAAGTCAAGGACTAATTATAATTTGAACCTGGTCATCTCTGCCTTGGATGAGAAGTCTGGGTCGATTTGTTCAGTGATCCATCACAGGGGTCTCCAAACGTAGCAATTTTAAGACTTGTGGACTTCAGTTCCCAACTTCTTCAGCCAGCATGAAGAAATCTGGGAGCTAAAGTCCACAAATCTTAAAATTATCAAGTTTGGAGACCCCCTGATCTGTCAATTTGTTTTCTTGTCTGACCTCTGGTGTCCAAAACACCAAACTTCAAAAGTCTCAATTCCTATCCTGCTTCTTCAAAGTCCAAAATTTAATAAAGAGTAGCAATATTAGACCAGGCCAGGGGTAGCAATCTTGGCTCTTTTATGACTGGTGGACTTCAACTCCCAGAATTCCTGAGCCAGCTGTGCTCAGTTGAAATCTACCAGTCATAAAAGAGCCAAGGTTACCTACCCCTGGACCAGGTCATATGGGTAGTTCTTGACTTACGACCATCTGAATAGCAACTGCTTGAAGTTGCGATGGACCTATCTGGGGGTACTTTTAACCCATATTTGAAGTTCTGACGGCTGACGCCCCCCAAATCACATGACCATGTTAGGCACTAAACAACAAGCCTGCAATTTGCAGTGTCCTGTGGTCACTTGATCACAGTTTACAATGTTCTGATGAAAACTGACATTTACTTCTGGGGTTTTTTTTTTGTTTACTTTGCAAAACTGGCCAATAGCAAACCATGGGTTTACATAACGACTATGGTGTTTGCCTAACAACCACCACAAAAGAGGTTGTACAATTAAGTTGGTTGTGTTGGTAACTTAATTCTCAACTGTGACAACTTATGACTGGGATGGGCAGGTTCCCTTACAGTCATAAGTTGAGGACTTATAGGATCTCCTGCTTGAGCAGGGGGCTGAACTAGAAGACCTCCAAGGCCCCTTCCAGCTCTGTTTTGATTCTGATTCTGACTACCTGTAATGTGGTTGGAGAGTTTGTGGCTCATCAAATGATACTAACCAAATAATAATAATAAAGTTGGAAGGGACCTTGGAGGTCATCTAGTCCAGTGGTTCTTAACCTGGGCAATATTGCCCCCCAGGGGGCGATTTCATTTTTCAGGAGGGCAATGGAACAAAAAGGGGCGATGTGGGGGCGAAGGAATGAAAAGGGGGTGATATGGGGGCGATGGAATGAGAAGTTTTGGGGACACTTTTGAGACTTTTTCGTACAGTGAATCGCTGTATATCTGTCGTACAAAAACATCGTATCGCTCGCTATTACTGGATTGAGTTGTGTTTTCAAATGTTCCTCCAGCTAGCTTCAATACAGAACACCGTACATATGTGAAGACGCATTGCTTATCTTCATGCGCGTTGCGCAACAGCCTCTACCCATACAGTGGCGCGCCATTGGCCAGAATATGGGAGATATGGGAAAAAGACTGGAAATAAATTATTTGCATCGATATGTCCTGATGACAATTTTAAAGAAAACAAAAAAAGTGTTTGCATAAATTGAAGAATTATTTCCTATGTTGTGATTGAGAGGTTATGTTGGGGGAGGGGGGCGATGACAGCTTCCTCATTGGCTCAAGGGGGCAATTCGTTCAAAAAGGTTAAGAACCACTGGTCTAGTCCAACCCCCTGCTCAGGCAGGAAACCCTATACCATTTCAGGCAGATGGCTGTCCAGTTTCTTCTTAAAAACTTCCAGTGTTGGAACATTCACCACTTCTGGAGGCAGGCTGTTCCACTGGTTAATTGTTCTCACTGTCAGGATGTTTCTCCTTAGTTCTAGGTTGCTTCTCTCCTTGATTAGTTTTCATCCGTTGCTTCTTGTCCTGCCTTCAGAGGCTTTGGAGAATAGCTTGACTCCCTCTTCTTTGTGGCAGCCCCTGAGATATTAGAACACTGCTATCATGTCCCCCCTCATCCTTCTCTTCATTAAACTAGACATACCCAATTCCAGCAACTGTTCTTTATATGTTTTAGCCTCCAGTCCCCTAATCATCGTTGTTGCTCTTCTCTGTACTCTTTCTAGAGTCTCAGCATCTTTTTTACATTGTGGTGACCAAAACTGGATGCAGTATTCCAAGTGTGGCCTTCCCAAGGCATTGTAAAGTGTTATTAATACTTCACGTGATCTTGATTCTATCCCTCTGTTAATGCAGCTCAGCATTGTGTTGGCTTTTTTGGCAGCTGCAGCACACTGCTGGCTCATATTTAAGTGATTATCCACTAGGACTCTGAAGTCCCTCTCACAGTTACTACTATTGAGCAAGATACCCCCTATACTATACCTGTACATTTGGTTTTTCTTGTCTAAATGTAGAACCTTACTTTTTTCACCATTGAATTTCATTTTGTCAGATAGCGCCCAGTGTTCAAGTCTGTCCAGGTCCGCCTGTATCTTAAGCCTGTCTTCTGGAGTGTTGCTTATACTGCCAGCTTGGTGTCTGCAAATTTGATGAGTTCCCCATCTATTTCCTCGTCCAAATCGTTGATGAAGATGTTGAAGAGCACTGGGCCTAGAACAGAGCCCTGGGGCACCCCACTACATACTTCCCTCCATGTAGATGCGGTTCCATTGCATCCTAAAGTTTGGATTTATTTATTTGTTATTTTACAAATAACTGAAGGTAGTGAACATACCCAACACACCTTCCTTCTCTTATTTTCCCTATCACAACAACCCTGTGAGGTGGGATAGGCGGAGAGAGAGAGAATGACTGGTTCAAAGTCTCCTAGCTGGCTTTCATGCCTAAGGTTGGATTTGAACTTACGGTCTCTCGCTTTCTAGTCTGGTGCCTTAATCACTAGACCAGGGGTCTTCAAACCTGGCCCTTTTATGACTTGTAGACTTCAACTCCCAGAATTCCTCGGCCAGGCACGCTGGGAGGAATTCTGGGAGTTGAAGTCCACAAGTCATAAAAGGGCCAGGTTTGAAGACCCCTGCACTAGATTAAACTGGCTCATCAGGATATTGGAATTGCCACAATCTGCCCTAACGTCTTGGAGTTTCATAGAATAATAGAACTAGAAGGGGCCTTGAAGGTCTTCTAGTCCAGTGGTTCTCAACCTGTGGGTTGGGACCCCATTTGGGGTCGAACGACCATTTCACGGGGGTCGCCAAACAACGCAGTCCGCCATTTTTTTCCCCCTTTCCTTAGCTATGCTACTCCCTTTTATTCTATTGGCTTTTGAAAGCCAATAGAATAGACTCTCTTGAATAGAGTCTAATTCTATTGGCTTTCAAAAGCCAATAGGAATTGTCCAGGCTGTCCCTGCCCTGCTGAGCCCGCTAAAAGTCCCATTCTGCCACCCGTGCTGCACCAGTTGAGTAGTCCTCGACTTATGACCGGGTGAGTAGTCCTCGACTTATGACCGGTTGGGGGGTCGTGGCATTAAAAAGGTTGAGAACCACTGTTCTAATCCAACCCCTGTCTAAGGCAGGAGTCCTCACACCATCATGACACAGATAACTTGATTGGCCATTCAGTGGCTCTAGTGAGAACCAGTTTGGTGCAGTGGCTAAGATGCTACATAAGAAACCAGGAGTCTCTGAGTTCTAATCTCCCTTTGGGCATCAAGCCAGGCGAGTGACCTTGGGCAACTCACTCCGTCCAACCTCACAGGATTGTTGTTGTGGGAAAAAAATGGATGGGGGCTTCCTTGACTTAAAAAAAAAATAAAAGTAGGCTATAAATACAGGTAGTCCCCAACTTACGACCACAGATGAGCCCAATATTTCTATTCCTAAGGGAAACATTTATTGAGTTTTGCCCCATTTTACAACCTTAGTTGCCACAGTTAAGCAAAACACTGCGGGTGTTAAGTTAGTAACATGGTTGTTAAGTGAATCTGGCTTCCCCATTGACTTTGCTTGTCAAAAAGTCACAAAAGGGGATCACATGATCCCGGGACACAGCAACCGTCATAACTATCAGCCAGTAGCCAAGCGTCTGAATGTGACCACAGGGATGCTGCAATGGTCATAAGTGTGAAACACAGTCATAACGCACTTTTTTCAGTGCCGTTGTAACTTTGAACAGTCACTAAATGAACTGTTGTAAGTGGAAGACTGCCTGTATATATAATAAATAATAACAATCATTATACACTGCCAAAAAAGCCAACACAATGTTAGGCTGCATTAACAGATGGATAGAATCAAGATCACGTGAAGTATTAATACCACTTTACAATGCCTTGGGAAGGCCACACTTGGAATGCGGCATCCAGTTTTGGTCACCACGATGTAAAAAAGATGTTGAGACTCTAGAAAGAGTACAGAGAAGAGCAACAAAGATGATTAGGGGACTGGAGGCTAAAGCATATAAGGAACAATTGCTGGAATTGGGTATGTCTAGTTTAACAAAGAGAAGGACAAGGGGGGACATGATAGCAATGTTCCAATATCTC